TTCCAGCAAGCTCATGACCTCAGGGACACAATGTTCTTTACAAGATGTTGTTAGGTAAGGCACAGCCTCAAGTAGACTCCCGTGTCTCTGCCCGGCTGACATGATACACAATTTCTTGATGAAGTCGGAGATTCTCTGTTTTTAATTAATTTGTTTTCTATTTAATCACCACTACCATCATTTATCAGATACAGAATGTCGTCGTACTGAAATACAAAATCACACCGATATGTAATAGACATATTTCTGAGATTTTTTCTTATGGTTTTCAAATGTATCATTGTCTGTACATTTTAAAAAATATGTGTTTATAAAATGGTAAAGTGTCATTAAATGTATCAATGTGTCAACAATATTGCCTGTTTTATGACCATATCCGTATTTAAGGGCACTCAAAAACACTTAATTAACTGATATATAGATTTAATATTCTTTTAAATTATATTTTGATATATACACTGGTATGGTATCAATATATGAAGTTACCTGCGGGTACAAAGTGTAGGGGGACATTAGGGTCCATGTTACCTATGTCAGTATAGTGACATTAGGGTCCATGTTACCTCAGTCGGCAGGGTGACATTAGGGTCCATGGTAGCTCAGTCAGTAGAGTGACATTAGGGTCCTTGTTACCTCAGTCAGCAGGGTGACATTAGGGTCCATGATAGCTCAGGCGGCAGGGGGACATTAGGGTCCATGTTACCTATGTCAGTAGAGTGACATTAGGGTCCATGTTAGCTCAGTTGGTAGAGCATTGGCCTTTGTAAGTTCTATAGAAGATCCAAGGTGCATAGTCTCAAGCTTCCAACTCATAAAGGATGACAGTTTGTGTTTCTTAGGCAGCTGAGAAACTAGCTGATCTACACTGTAATGGATGTGTCCTTGGGCAAACCACTTTGTCCTTATTGCTCTGGATGGCATGTGATGAGCCACTCATATGTTATTTCCTGAAGGAGCCAGTATTTACTGCAATGAGATCCCATATCAAGGGGGCAAGAAACCCAGCAAACAAGGTTTGGTATTGGAAAAAACAACGAACCTGAAATAACATTGACCTCAAAATAAACAATAATCCCAAATTGAATTTGATGTCAGAATAAACGGTATACTTGTGTTGACTGTGACATCAGAGAAAACAATGATTTGTTTTAGCTTCTAAACCAAATTTAAATGGGCTGGCTTTGACATCAGAATAAGAAATAAATCTTTGATAGTTTTTTACCTCAGAAGAAATGATAAACCTGACAGTATAATAAACAATTTTGTAACCTGTGGTGTCAGAGCAAACAAGCAACTTCCGTTGGCTTTGACAGCAGAATAAAGAATAAAATTGTGTAGATTTTGTCCTCAAAATAAACCAAAAAGTATTGTTGGCTTTGACATAGGAATAGATAGCAATGGTTTGTTTAAGCTTCCAAACCTGGCTTAATCCTTTCATCTCATCTTTGAATTCTAACCTGGTCTCTGAATTCTTAGACTTGACCTCGAAACATTTTAGAGATAACCTCAGAATTATTTGAAATTGGAATCCTTTAAAATATTTCGGAATTCTTTGACCTACCTGCTTAAAAAAATCCATCTGACCTAAGAATGCTTAAACCTAACTGGTCTTAGCTCGGAATCTGTTAACTTGACCTTTGAACTCTTCAATCTTACCAAATTGACCTGAAGCCATAAATCTGCTTTCTGAACCCTGACCTGTGAACCCTTTCACTTGTACCTCAAAATGCTCAGAATCCTTTAATCTGGCCTCTGAACCAACCTATCTTACCTTGGGATTCTGACCTCAAGCTTTTAGCTTACTCTTAACACCTGAACTTGACCCGATTCCTAACCCAACACCTGTATTTGAGAACACTTTTTGTTCTAATCACCAAATTAATGACTAAGCATCCACTACGCCAGATTTTGTGCCAAAATCAGTACTTTTAATGCTCTGTTTCGTTGTAAATTTTCTAGATGACAATAAAGCATTATTTGATTTGGATACTGTTAATGAAGTCTGTTACCAGCAACAATAGACAATAAGGATACCCTCTCCATTTGCATCATTACTCATTATAAATGGAGATGATGTAGTCAGCCAATTGGAAGACTGATTCTAGTCTGCTGTTTCCTATCCTTGAAAGGTGTCATTCCCTGAACTTTATTTCTTCTCTAGCTACATTGAAAAAGGAAGTTTTAGTCTTTCAGAAAAGATATACAGTACTCCTCAACCCAAGAACAGCTAGTTTGAATATGACACTGAGCAGACCCTAGGCAATCGTAACTATTCGATTATGTCATTACCAACGTTGAAGAGGTCTTAACTGACTTCTATGTAAAACCTTATGGGGCACTTTCGTTCATAGAAACACCTTGGGTTTTAAATGTCGAAAAGGGCTTGAAATTCTGCATGCCATAATTTTACTTTATGGTTGGAGGTGACTATAAAATGGCAGGTTGGAGAATTTTAGAAGGTGAAATCATCAAGGACGTTACAGGCACCATTTGTTTATAAGATTAATAGTTGTGTTTAATTGTGCTCAACCTCTTGAAAGACATTTTATTTGTAGGTTCTTATTCTCTGATAAAGAATGTTTGAAAAAAGTCAATCTTTTTCACTGATGTAAACTGTTTTCATCTTGTTTCATTCTTAGGGTGCGTTGTATATGATGTTTGTAATCCGTATTCATTCAGCAATTAGTATTATGTTTGTGTTCATAAATGAATATCAAGTTAGTAATATTATGTTTAGTGTTTGAAATTAATATCAAATAAATAATGTTATGTTCAGTGTTTGGAATTTATATTCATTAAGTAATATTATGTTCAGTGTTTGAAAATTAATATCCAGTAAGTAATATTATGTTTAGTGTTTGAAAATTAATATCCAGTAAGTAATATTATGACTAGTGTTTGGAATTAATATCCAGTAATATTAAGTGTTTGAAAATATTATGTAATATTATTAGTGTTTGGAATTAATATCCAGTAAGTAATATTATGTTTAGTGTTTGGAATTAATATCCAGTAAGTAATATTATGTTTAGTGTTTGGAATTTATATCCAGTAAGTAATATTATGTCTAGTGGACGTAGTCTCATGGTAACTTATTGTGATCCCCTTTTGTTTGGCATCATTCCTCCATAAACATTTTGTACATTTTCAACTTCTGGAACACCCCTGAACTGCTTTTAATAAAGTAAACCAAAATTGTAAAGAATTTTGTCCCCATCTCCCAGGGTGCCTGAAGGGCATGGCCAAAAAAGGTCTGAAATTGTCTGAAATTTCAAAAAGCTTCTCAATATTCATGTCTGGTAGAATCAAATACTGTTCATTGATGGAAAGGTTTTAAGGTGCTTTACCAAAATTATAATTTCAATGACCCCAGGGTCTCACATTTTCCCCTGGGGAGGGGGTAAAATTTACATTTATTTAGTAATTAATCCTCAGGGGTTGATAGGCATGGCCAAAAAGGATTGAATTGACTGAAATTTCAAAATTCTTCTCCTCACTACCCAGATTTGGTAGAATCAAATGCTGTTTATGGATGGAAGGGTCTCTAGGGGTTTACCAAAATCATAAATTTCATGACCTTGGTAAAAGTGAGATCTATAGTCCCTGTACAAATAGCATTTCTCATATTCTTTTTTCTCTACTACACATTTATTCCTATTGTTTCGGTTTGTGAGTTCACCAAGGCGACTGTTTCTGCCCTTGGGCCTCTTGTTTTGCTTGTCTGACTGATATTTTATGGTAAAAATGATAAAAGTTTTTGATTTTAAACCATGAAAGTGTTTTAATAGTGGTGTTGATGATGCAAAAAATAGTGTAATTGTGTTATGATAATGTAAGAAATTAGACATCAATCATTACATAATTGTGTGTTTTATAGTATGAAGAAGCAATAACATTTTATTTTCTGATTCAAATGACAAACATTACTTGTGTTGGTTTGATGGGATAGTTAATTACCCTTAAAGTTGTGTCAGGTTTGTTTTATTTTCTGACTGTTTATCATGTACATCCCAAATTTGTTTGATGACAGCACTCTGTGGTAGCAGATCAAATCAAAATGTTTCCTTAGAAGGTTAAGTGGGTCGTAACACCTGATGTGCAGAGATTCATTATCAACTAATGGTTTAAAAAACTGACAAATTTCTAAAACTTGAAATGTCTCTGAGTACATTGGGTTTTTTTTCTTGAACTAATGAGTATAGTAATTACCTTGTCTCTATCCCTGTGATGTAATTATCCAAGGATGAATAATGAAAAGAATATAAGATAAATCCAAATATGATCAATAGGTAAAACTCACATTTGAATGCAGATCTTTCCTGTTCACAAGGTAACACCCACCAGAATGCAAATGTTTGCACAGTCATTGTTTAGAAAAACATCAAGAGTAAAATGATTTGGCCCTCTTGTTTATATAGATAAGGTCACAATAATCCGATTTATGTTAGCACATGTTATCTGTCATCAGTAACACTTGTTACAGTGATACTATTTTTTCTGTAATGCTGTAAATTTGATCTACACATTTATTATAAATACAATGTAACAAATTCAGTAACAACATACTAACACATAATTGGTAAATTGGTTCCTTCATTTATTGGTTGACTAGGTCTGCCTGTGATGATGAAGCTTCATCACGACCTGGTGAAGATATTTTATGTTTAACTATGAAAAAATTTGAAAAGGATAAAAAATGTAGCGGACTCTAAATAAAGTAATTTAGTGATAAGTTAGTGAAATGATATATCATATTGTGTGCCTATTTTCCTGTGAAATTGCCCTTATGGTACTTTTGGATATATATATATTATCAATGAAATATATGTTGGAGTATTTTTCATAGAGTGTGCCAATCAGAAATTGATTCTAATGTCATAATATAGACAATGATGTTATGTAATGAATTGAAAATGGCACCACAAAATAACATTAAAACCTGTGGGAAAGTATCTTATTCTGATTCATGTGATCAAAAGTCTCTTAATTTGTTGTTTCAGAGTACGAGGGAGAGAATCATCCATGGACAATCGACAATCTGGCTGTCAACATGGGCCCACCAGAGTCCCCTCTGTCCTCCGAGTCATTAGGGGACAGTCCACTCTCTGCCCTCGATTGCCCTCTGTCACCAGCCTCAGAGAACATGACCCCTGAGCAAGTCCCCTCAGGGGTTGGCGTGTCTGATGTTAATCCTTATGGCTGTCAGTTCTGTGAGAAAGCCTTCCCAAAGCTCAGTTATCTGAAAATACATGAACAGGTAAAGGCTACAAATTTAAATAGCAAGTTAATAATTTTAAACATGTTATCATCATTTCAGATGATAGTGGGAATGCTTTTATCATCAATTTATGATTTCATACCAATTTGTTTATAAAATGTGAATTATGGAACCAACATTTCCTTTGAGATCCCTAGCTGTCAGTGAGGATACCGTAGGTATGCAGGAGCATTTTATGCAGTGAATAAGATATGGTGAAATACAACCTCAACACACTACAGCCAATTCTTGTATTTATTCGCTACATAAAGGCGGTTGACCAATTTCGCATGTTTGGTGTTGCTTTATCAGAGCTGTCATTTACATTGAAGTAGTTAGTTAAATTGCAGTTTAGGTGGTTAAGAAGTTAAGAAATAGATGTAACTTTGACACTATAAATAGAACAATATAGAAAGTAGTTTAAAACAAATGAAACTTGAATATATAAAAGTTATTGTTTTAAACAAGCTTGAATGTGGAATTCTTTCTGCTACTTTCTCTTTTGTTCTATTTCATATGTCATTTTTTTCAAATTTCATAATAATTTGTTAATAAAGATACACGTTTCTTAATTGCACTAAACAGAGCATTCTAAAGGTTTTTGGTTTGATTGACACCTGGGGTAGGTTATATTTTGGTGGGACTGTGATAGCTTAGTCAGTTAAAGGGTTGGCATACTTAACCTTAGAAGACTACCGATGGCATTTTGTGTTTTTAAGGAAGTTGAGAAACACCAATCTGTGTTGTTGTGGTTGTTGTGCAAAACACTTAACACTAATTGGTCTGAATGTCATGAGATTGGCCTTCTGCATGTTGTTCAGTGAGGTAGCCACCAGCTGCTTCTAGGAGATCCAAACTCAAAATGAGCTTGGCTGTTCATGGGACGATTAACCCAATAAACAAATATACAAACTTGATGTCTTATACAGAAATTATGTGGTAAAGATTTTGTAATACAGATATTAGATAGAGAATTTTAAAATCTATAAGATCTGTGTTCTACAGAATATATTACAACTGTAATCCTTTACTGCCATAAATCAATAGGTTTTAGACATGACCTTTACTTTGACCTTTGTGATATTCTACTTTGTGATTGGCTGTGTTTTACATGGTAAGATCACAGGTGCCATATAGTAATGGCATTATACAGTAGTTATTATGATACTGGGAGCTGTAATGTGCGACACACCTCCTCAGCTTTTGTCCCAAGCCCCTAAGTACTCCCCAGTTCAATATGAAGGAACTACAAATAAGGCTGTAACCATCAATGTTATTACTGACGAAGCACCACTACAGATCGGGGTAGCAATGTCACTGGTACTTAAGCTCCTAGAATCTACAACTTTAGATGTCTGCCAAGCTCCTAGAACCTACAACTTTATATGTCTGCCAACCATAGTTCTATGCACAAAGCATTCACTGTGTGGCTTTTTGTACTTGCACCTGTCTGAACTTAATCTCTAATAACAGGAACTACCTAGCTTGTTGTCCCCAAAGAGCAGACACTAACTTTCAGAGATATATTGACTTCATAGGAAACTTAAAGCTTCAGAAAATTTGAAACTGCCTGAAATTAAAAACACTATCTTTACAGTTTTTAGCTCATATGGTTGGAAGTGCTAGTGAGCTTACTTATGGTATTATGGCGGATCAGTCATTTGTCCATCAACTTTTAGCTTTTAGAAAACTATGATCAGTAGAGGGCTTATATTTGGCCAGGAGGTACTTGGGATGGAGTTCAGTTAATTTTTCTTATGAGAAAGATCTTCAAGGTTATAGGAATCATACAGGTAAAAAACTTTAATAATCTCCTTCTCAAGATTCAGATGCTTCACCAATAGATACCTTGGATGGAGTGCTATTAAGTTCCCTCTTGAAAAATGTCCTTGACCTATTTTCAATGTCACAGGGGTCAAAATTTTCACAGCAACATTTGGGAATCTTGATGTCAAATGTCAAAAGATTCAGGACACTGATATTTGGCCAGTAGGTACCTGGCATGGAATGCAATATAGGAAGATTCCTTTTAGAATGGCTTATTTTCAAGGTCATGGATCAAATATGTTTAATTAATTTAGGAATCTTCTTCTCAAATCCAGATATACCAAGAGGACTCGGGATAGAGAGCTATAAAGCTTTCTCATTTATAATGCCACTGCAGTTAAATATGTTAAAAATGTTTTAGAATCATCTTAAGTTTCAGAAGATTCAGAATCATATCATTTGCCAGCAGTTATTTAGGATGTAGTGTTACAGACTTTCCTCAGATAAATGATCTACAATTTCACTAGGTCCGATTTACTAAACATCGAACACATTTTTTCTTAAAAACAGCATCAAGAGTGATCATAATTTGTTATGTCATGAACATCACATTTTGAAATGTACTTTGGCAACTTACACAAAGATTATCAATGTTTTACCTGACCCTGAGGGGCCAAGTGAGCTATTGGAATACTGTGGCATATATCATCCTTCCAGCCATCCTCCCATCAATCAACTTTTTCTACAAATCGCTACTAGTCATAAATAACTGAGCAGATTTTGACCAAATTTTGTCAGAAGCATCCTTAGGGGAAGCGGAATATATTTTGTCTAAATGGTAGGTCTTGTCCCTAATCCGGACGGGGCCCAATAGGGAAATTTAGTACTTTTTCAAAAAATCATATTCCTCCTGTAGGAATGATAATCATTTTTTTTATATAAACAATGGGTCTCGGTCACAAGGGGCAGGAGGGCTCAGGCCCAATTAGGAAATTGAGCAATTTCTTTAAAATCATAATTTAGTCTAAAGCATTGTTGGGGAAAGAATCAATTTTGTATAAACATTACGTCTCTGCCCCCTGTGGTGGGAGGGACGGGGCCCAATAGGGGAAATAAAGCAAAAAAAATTCTACTCCTTCTGTTGGAATAATAATCAGTTTTGTATAAACAGTGGGTCTTGGCCACCTGGGATTGGAGGGACAGTGCCTTATGATGTCCATCTCTAGTCAGTGTCCATATGATGTCCGTCTCCAGTCTGTGTTCTTATGATGTCCCTCTCTAGTCTGTGGTCTTATGATGTCCATCTCTTGTCTGTCTGTATGTCTGCCTGTCTCAAGTCTGTGTCTGTATGATGTCCATCTCTAGTCAGTGTCCATATGATGTCCGTCTCCAGTCTGTGTTCTTATGATGTCCGTCTCCAGTCTGTGTTCTTATGATGTCCGTCTCTAGTCTGTGGTCTTATGATGTCCATCTCTTGTCTGTCTGTATGTCTGCCTGTCTCCAGTCTGTGTTCTTATGATGTCCATCTCTAGTCAGTGTCCATATGATGTCCGTCTCCAGTCTGTGTTCTTATGATGTCCGTCTCCAGTCTGTGTTCTTATGATGTCCGTCTCCAGTCTGTGTTCTTATGATGTCCGTCTCCAGTCTGTGTTCTTATGATGTCCGTCTCTAGTCTGTGGTCTTATGATGTCCATCTCTAGTCTGTGTATGATGTCCGTCTCCAGTCTGTGTTCTTATGATGTCCGTCTCCAGTCTGTGGTCTTATGATGTCCGTCTCTAGTCTGTGTATGATGTCCATCTCTTGTCTGTCTGTATGTCTGCCTGTCTCAAGTCTGAGTCTGTATGATGTTCATCTCTAGTCAGTGTCCATATGATGTCCGTCTCCAGTCTGTGTTCTTATGATGTCCGTCTCCAGTCTGTGTTCTTATGATGTCCGTCTCCAGTCTGTGTTCTTATGATGTCCGTCTCCAGTCTGTGTTCTTATGATGTCCGTCTTCTAGTCTGTGGTCTTATGATGTCCATCTCTAGTCTGTGTATGATGTCCGTCTCCAGTCTGTGTTCTTATGATGTCCGTCTCCAGTCTGTGGTCTTATGATGTCCATCTCTTGTCTGTCTGTATGTCTGCCTGTCTCAAGTCTGTGTCTGTATGATGTCCATCTCTAGTCTGTATATGATGTTCGTCTCTTGTCTGTGTCTGTATGATGTTCATCCTCTCCTTATGATGTCTGTCTCTAATCTGCATCTGTATGATGTCCATCTGTTATTCATGTCTGTATGATGTCCATCTGGAGCCTGTGTCTATACAGTCCATCTCTTGTCTGTCTGTATGTCTGTCTGTCTCAAGTCTGTATGATGTCCTTCTCTTGTCTGTGTCCGCCAGACGTAATATCTCTTGTCTGTGTCTGTATTATGTCCGTTTTGAGCCAGTGTCTGTCTGAGGACCATCTTTAGAATATGGTTCTAATTTGCAGGTACACAGTGACCAGCTGCCATTTAAGTGTGCATTCTGCAGCCGTTTATTCCGACACAAACGGAGCCGCGATCGTCACGTGAAGCTACACACAGGAGACAAGAAATATAAGTGCTCTCAGTGTGACTCAGCATTTGCGAGGTAATTTTTGCTCAAATAGGCTTAGTAATCAGAGCATGAATATCAGATATAAATCGGAATGTCATTGTGTAACAGATACATGTATTCACAGTCAAGTCCTACAAACGGAAGGCAATCATTTAACAGTAACCCTTGTTGTCTTTTTTAGTAGTAGTACATGATATAATAGTCAGTGATTTTATTTCTTGAAATTGTTTTATTTAAGTTGTATTTCTATGCATCTGCCAATAACTCTTATTTGTGTGGAATATCTCTTCGCACAGTTTTTAACCAATCTTTTTCAAACTTGGTAGGCATGATATCATGACATGAAGTTGTGTTTTCATGAACAGCAGTTTAATTTGACTATTTCGAAGAGGTATTGCACTTTATTGTTTTCATAAAGGTAATATTTTTTCGAAATTTCCAGTTTTCAGCAGATTTCTTTAAAATCTGGTAAGCATAATAATTATGACATTTTAAACATTTTTATTCAAACAAGAATTTTAAAGGGACATATGGTAAAAACTTTTAATCTTTTTTTATTGTGTGTTTTATACACTTCCAGTTATGTTTCTATGCTATCCAGATATTCACAGTCGATGTCCAATGTCAAGCCTGACCACTTCTTTAGTTCCGAAACCCCTCTCAAATATAACATCACAGGATAGAATTGAAAATGAAGCAGTTTATTTTGTAAGACAAACACTTGATGGTGGCGGAAATGACAACAACAATAATGACATAGTCAGTGAAATTCTGTTTTTTTCAGCACAAGACTTTGTTTTGGGGCGTAGCAAATTGTATTTCATAACTCTAAGTCAATTCATAATCATTAAATGAATAACATAATAACCAACCAATTCAGGTAAGAAACCGTTTTGGTTTACAAGTAACTGTGTTTTGTTTGCATATTTTATCATATATGATGCAAAAATTTATATATCCAGACTGCTGATTAACAGAAAAGAATTTCCTTTTTTCTAATTGTTAGTCAATCTATTTATGTGCATATTTCAGCCAAATCCAACTGTCATTGTTCATGAGGTGATACACTTAATATATATGCAATAATAAAAAGTCAGTTTTCATGCAATGACCCATAAGTTACTACTGCCTTTTGTTTTTGTTTTTTGGGTTTGTTTTTGTTTTGGGTTTTTTTTTAAAAACTTTTATCTTGTCCAGATATCTCCTTTCCTTTACATTTAAACCAATTTCTTTGAAATTTGGTAGTCTTCAATAGCACAGCATGAGATTGCTTTCTTACGGACAGCATTCTGATTCAACGATATTTCAAAAGTTATTGTTCTTTGTTCTTTGCAAAATTAAAGTCTAGTCTATAGATTTCTTTCAACTTCCCAGCCATCTCAATGAAACTTTAATTTATTTATCATTACTTCATTCATATTATTTTGGTTAGTATTATTTTGAATACAATAGATCCTGAATTCTTTGGTAGAGGCGTATATATATTTCTTTGTTATAAATTTTTTGTTGCATTTTAGGAGTGATCATTTGAAGAGCCATCTGAAAACCCACGAAAATGGGAAACCATTTCAATGTACGATCTGTAACCGTGGATATCAAACAGCAGCAGGCTTGACCTCTCATGTAATGATCCATAAGAAGAATGCTGAGTCAAGCTCTGACTTGCAGTGTCAACAATGTAAGGATGTTTTTCCTTCCCTTGCCGAGCTTCACAATCACATGCTGATACACCGTGAGGAGATTGCCCCAGGCAAGTCCTCCGTCCACTGTCCCTACTGTGGGGACGTGTGTCCCAGTCAGGATGCCCTCAAGCTTCATGTGGAACAGATGCACATTGCTGACCAGCTCACCAACTGTCCTATATGTCAGAAGTCATGCTTAAACACTGATGACCTAGTCCATCACATGGCCACCCATGACTTACTGACAGTTGATCGTATCCCTACTGATGAACACAACCTCTCAGGCTCCACCACAGGGGCCACAGCCAGCCTCACCCACTCCTTAGGAGGGCAGCCCTTGGTTAGTGAGATGCTGGTATGTCCATATTGTTTTAGTAGTGATTACGATTCCCTAGAGATCCTTGAGATACACATGCAAAGTGTACACTCTGTAAAGCCCACAGAAGTTTACACATGCAACTATTGTAATGCTCCCTACCAGAACCTGTACAGCCTACATGAACACATGCGAGCAGTACACCAGAACCAGCCCTGCATGGACATCAAGTACCCCTGCACTCACTGCTCTCGTCAGTTTTCCAGCATAGAGAACCTCCAACAGCACAAGAAGCTTATCCACTACTACGAGCGTAGGGAGAGAAGTGAGTCTCGCGATCCCCTTTATTGCATCATGTGTTCCATGGCATTCCAGTCAGCAGGTGCCCTTCAGGATCACATGGCCATGATGCATCACTCTTCACCAAAGTCAGAACCTAAGTATTCCGACACCAAGTCTCACTCTAACACCAGCAACAAGCGCCGTTCCTCACTGGTGACTCCTGGTTCTGAAGGAGGATACCACCACAAACGGGACAACGACAAGTCATTCAATAGACGAGGTATCAACATGCATCTGAACTTCACCTCAGCTCCTGAGCCACATAAAGACCAGATGCCCACATCATCGCCTTACCAGGATCAGGTAACTTGTGACCATTGTAATGCCACATTCCATGACAGGAAGAATTTCCAGGCTCACATCAAGCTCCACCTGGAAAGTAGTGCAGGTGGACCATACTGCTGTAAACTATGTAAGCAGCAGTTCTCTACTGAGGACCAACTGGAGAAGCATAGCTCCACACACTACCTCAGTATGACCACAGAGTATGGCTGTACCAGCTGTGTCAAGTTCTTCTCCAAACCGGATGAGCTCCAGAAACACCTGATGGACATACACGCTCATCACCTGTACAGGTACATCACTAATTATTGTTTCTTATTATTTCACCCACCACTACTCAACCAGGCTTTTTGTTTGTGTCAAACCACTTATTAAGCAGGCTTATTAGTTTCCTATGGGTGAAACCAAAGGGGACTAAAGTGTTTATCTCCATCTGCCTGTCCGTCCATCTGTCTGTATGTCTGTCCAAATGTTGGTTTCCAGACAATAACTTTAGAGAAGTTAGATGGATTTGAATGAAACTTCATTTAATATTAGGTTATCGGGTAAAAGAGTGGGATTGAGTTGGGAACCGAAGGGTCAACTACAAAGGTCACTGTTGCTAAAAATGGATGTTTTCTGTCAAATTTTGGATTCCAAATGATAATTTCAGAATGGTTTGATGGATTTGATTGAAACTTCATACAATGTTTGCTTATGAGGTAATACAGCAGGCTTATTGTTTGTGTCCGTAACTCACCTATCAGGCTTTTTGTTTATGTGCACTACTAATTAAGTAAGCTTATTGTTTGTGAGGTAATAGAGTCAATTGTTTTGATATATACTCATCAAAACTCTTAGGAAATGTAGGACTTAACTCTTACTCCCACATCAAAACTGTGTACAATAACATGAAAAAAGGCAAATACCTTGAAACTTCAAGATTAATATGTTTTGGCTATGATTTTTTCATAATTCCATACTTCAATCTTAAATGATGTATTACTGTATGTAATCTGATACCCTGGTATGATTTAGGTGAATTATGAAAAAGTTATCTTGAGTACAAAATCTATGCTTGAGCATGAGAACGCTTTCATGAATACGGGCCCTAGTGTCAAGCATGTCCTGATCCTTTAGCTTAATCTAGTGAATAAGAATACTTTGAGAGTAAAATGAGATCAGGTTATATATGACGGTAACAGAGAGATACTGTTTACCTAATAAGACATACCTACACATACCACATCTACATTCATTTACACATGTTCAAAATCGTTTTTAAGTTTTACCATCATAAAAAGTGTATTGATTACATAATGACGTATGTAGGCAAGAAGTGTTTTTGTTGAAGTTGCAGTGCATCTGTCTTCCATGGTCTATCATCTTTATTCCATCCATCTGTCTGTCAGACCATGGCAGATGGACGCACTGCGACTTGAACAAAAAAACTTCTTGCATCTGAACATTAACTAAAGTAAGGACAAATTCAAGGCTTCAGGAAAATCGACGAAACAACAGTATATGCTTATTTTTACAAAGTTTTCAGAAAATAATATCTAGCTTGCTTAAACCAGGACTGAAACCAAACAGTGCATCAGGAAGAATATCTTGTTTAGTACAGACATCTGAAAGCTGTTTATTGAGTAAACAATTTCCAACTTATTAGGTGTAATTGTTTAGGTCTGTAATAACACCTAGATACAATAATTACTGACAAGTTGGCAGGAAAACAGCCAGATTCTAAAAAAAATATTCAATAGTGCATGTTTCCATGCTTTAGATTTAAAATTTTCTCTTCACACCAGTGGTGATGTTTCAGTCTGATTTCATTTTTTCTTTGATGTAAGCAATACATGTAAAGCAACTAAATACTGTGTACTTAGAATTCTTAATTTATTTTGTAACTATGGTTAAGACTTTAGACTTAGGAGTTTGATGTTCAATGTATTATTATCCTGTATTTGTTCTAAAGCATTACCTCATATTTTTTTAAAGAAGAGTTCCAGCAGTTTCATGTTTTTAATTCCTTAGTAAATCTATTAACACTTATTGATGGATCACTGATTCAGTATGCGTTTAATAAGTAAATGTTGTAACCTATCTGAGTTTACATTCAAGGATTTTTAGCCCACCATCTATTCAAATAGATGGTGGGTTATTCAAATCTCCCTGCGTCTGTGGTCCGTCGTCCGCCCATCCGTCCGTCCATAAACAATTCTTGTTACCACTATTTCTGGAAAAGTACTGGATAGATCTTTCTCAAATTTCATATGCAGGTTCCCCTTGGTCCCTAGTTGTGCATTGTACTTTTTTTGAACTGATTCGAATTCAAGATGGCCGACAGGCAGCCATCTTGGATTTTGGAAGTAAAAGTCTGTTACCGCTATTTCTGGAAAAGTACTTGATGGATCTTTCTCAAATTTCATATGCAGTTTCCCCTTGGTCCCTAGTTGTGCATTGTACCTTTTTTGGACTGATTCGAATTCAAGATGGCCGACAGGTGGCCATCTTGGATTTTGGAAGTAAAAGTTTGTTACCGCTATTTCTGAGAAAGTACTAGATGGATCTTCCTCAAATTTCATATGCAGTTTCCCCTTGGTCCCTAATTGTGCATTGTACCTTTTTTGGACTGATTCGAATTCAAGATGGCCGACAGGCAACCATCTTGGATTTTGGAAGTAAAAGTTTGTTACTGCTATTTCTTGGAAAGTACTGGATGGATCTTTCTCAAATTTCATATGCAGTTTCCCCTTAGTCCCTAGTTGTGCATTGTACCTTTTTTGATTCCAATTCAAGATGGCAGACAGGTGGCCATCTTGGATTTTGAATGTAAAAGTTTTTTACCGCTATTTCTTGGAAAGTAGTGGAGAGGTGGCCATCTTGGATTTTGGATGTAAAAGTTTGTTACCGCTATTTCTTGGAAAGTACTGGATGGATCTTTCTCAAATTTCATATGCAGGTTCCCTTTGGTTCCAAGTTGTGCATTATACCTTTTTGGACTGATCCGAAATCAAGATGTTACTGCTATATCTGAGGAAGTCCAGGATGGATCCTTCTGATATTTCATAGATATTGGTTTCCCTTGGTCCCTAGTTGTGCATTGTACCTTTTTTGGACTGATTTGAAATCAAGGTGGCCCACAGGCAGCCATCTTGGATGTCGACAGTAATACAGCACAAGCATATTGTCCATTATCCACCTGTAACTGACTGCTATCTAATAATACTTTGGGATCTTTTTCAAATGATATTTGCTAATAGGTGCTTGATAAAAATATCTTGTGCCATCATTCAATGAAGACCAGTTCATGAACATTTACAACACCTGTAACAAACAAAAAAAAATCTTCAAGAACTGAAAACAGATCCTCAAATGGTGGGCGCCAAGATTCCTCTGGGATATCTTGTATATATTGATGTTTAAATTCCACATTCCAAACATACATCTACCACAAATATATTAAGGAGTATATACCTATAATACAGTTTTTTTTACAATGCCTTGCAGATCATTTCGTGTATTAACTATCCTTTCTTTATACTCTGAAAATTCCATGTATCGGTAGATTTCAGAATATGGACTTGTGTATGTTAATATTAGGTATCATAACATTTTCGTACCACCAGTCAAAGCATGTAATAAACATTGGTATCAAAAGCACAGGAAATTCAACTCTCAAAATCCTGCCAATCATTACGTTTATATGCTTTTACGGCCGAATTTTCACAGGGATTCATATTTTTTATCAATAAATCATGGATATCCATATAATTCTCTTGTTTACATACCTATGTATGGAACTGAGTACACGTATCATCTGCATCTAGTTTTAAGTCTGTGATATGGCAAATTTACAATCTTTAGATGTAAGTTTTTTGCAGTTTCATTTCATTCCCACTGTTTTATATGCTCAGGTTTGCTTTGTGTTTAATTGAAGTAAAATATTTCATTGTCAATCAATGGTGTCTTTAAAAAGAGGGAACAGATGAAAAGTGTCTGCCTTCTACACTACTGTTTACATATAAGACAGTCAGACAAAGCCACACTTTGACATCACAAGTACCACATGGTCACCTCATTAAATTTCTCACTCATATGTAACAAGTAAATTCATCTGATTAAAAACAGGTATCAGGACATATTTGAGCAGTGCCATATCAGTGGTAGTACTGTTTGTATATGTAACAGAATTTAACAAACCCCAAAATCATGGCCAAAATTAACCAATAATTTCTGCATTCTGAGCTCAGCTTACATTTGTCAAGTACAATTCAAGAAAGATAACTCTTACATGGAATTAAGTCTTGAGTGTTACATTTGTGTACATAGTATAGATCTTTTGTAGATATTTATATGTCTGAGTACATGGTTTTGATAGAACACAGTATAGATCTTTTGTAGATATTTATATGTCTGAGTACATGGTTTTAATAGAACACAGTATAGATCTTTTGTAGATATTTATATGTCTAAGTACATGGTTTTAATAGAACACAGTATAGATCTTTTGTAGATATTTATATGTCTAAGTACATGGTTTTAATAGAACACAGTATAGATCTTTTGTAGATATTTATATGTCTGAGTACATGGTTTTAATAGAACACAGTATAGATCTTTTGTAGATATTTATATGTCTGAGTACATGGTTTTAATAGAACACAGTATAGATCTTTTGTAGATATTTATATGTCTGAGTACATGGTTTTAATAGAACATGATATTGATCTTTTGTAGATGCTCACTGTGTAAGGAAATCTTCGACTCCAAAGTGAATGTACAGGTGCACTTTGCCATCAAGCATAGTAACGAGTGTAAGTTATACAAATGCACGAAATGTGATTCAGTGTTCAGGTCTGAGATGGAGTGGCAGGTTCATGTCAGGGTGAACCATCTGCATGTTGCTAAACCATACAGGTGAGTTACCCAGAATCCAATTTTATAACTTATAAACTTATTCAACAAAAGCTCATTCATTTTCTTATAAGTTTTATTTATACCTATACAAAGTTTAGAAATAATAATGCTCTCATTCTGATCATCATGATTTTACAGGTTGTATTTTATTTGGCAGAAATGTTGGTATTGTGTCTCAATTACCTCAATTGGCTTACTGTTTCAGGTGTCTGTTCTGTAAAGAGAGTTTCTCATCTGAAATGGATCTCCAGTGTCATCTGACCACCCACAACAAACCCTTCAGGTGTCCTATGTGTGATGAGTCCTTCCATGTTGAGTACCTCCTCGACAAACACATGCAGTGTATGCATGGAAACCCCACAGACAAAGCAATTCCTCCACCTCCACAAATGTCCCCTGTAAAAATCAAGGTAGAGCGAGATGTTGATACACCAAGCTACAACGACCGAACACCTCCCCACCCAAGCCCTAGGTACTCCCCAAAGAACCTTAATGGACCAGGGATCTGGAAGAGCTCGGAGCTGCTGCACACTTGTAACATCTGTGATATGAAGTTTGAGCAGCAGGCATTATTACAAGCACACAAAGCTGTAGATCACGGCCTCTCCGCTAAAAAGTCTAGTACATCTAGCGCCTCCGTCAGTCCAGACCAAGTTACAATCATGAAACCCGAGTCAGATCATCACCCAGTCAGAAAGCCTGTGACTTCTGTTGTCTCTTCAGCATCTTTGGCTCCTACGTCTTCCATGGCTTCGCTGGCATCCATCACTTCTGCTGCCATGACTTTACAGGAACGACTCCAGGCAGACACGTCAATGCCTCCTGCTGTTAGTCATTCCCCTGTCACCTCCAAATCCATGTCTTTGCCTGTTGTTGTCATCAGTGAAAAGCTTAGTCTAGCCTGTATGTACTGCAGTCAGACATTCAAGAGTAGAGGTGATCTGGACAAACACATGAAGATTCACCAGAACAATGGCAGCCAGAAATGTAACATCTGTGACCAGGTGTTCCCTACATCCAGTATCCTAGCTGAACACAAACTCACCCATTGCAAGATTGTCCAGGGCAACAGTTGTGTACTTTGTAAGATCCCCCTGAAAAACGAGGACCAGTTTTATGTGCACACACAGGAGCATGGCTTCCAAGGTACCTTCATGCAGTGTCTCATATGCCGGCAGACACTTGCGTCCATGGTGGAGCTGCAAATGCATGGTAAACATCATTTCCAGGTCAAGTCCAGCTTTTACACATGTTGTGTCTGTCTCAAAACATTCAACTCCAAAGAAAATTTAGTGTCAAAGATGAACAGCAGTGGTCGCACATACTATGTATGTAAACCTTGTTACCATGGAGAACATTCAGAGTATGTGTGTTCTGAATGTGGAGCAAGTTTTCCCTCCAATGGGGAGCTTGACACACATATTGGCACACATAAAAAAAGTTACCAGTGTATAAAATGTCAGGAATCATTCAGTAGTGAGTATGAAATTCAGCTACATGTAGCTACACACATGATGACTGAGGGAAATGTCCATGATTGTAAACTCTGCTCACGAACATTCGAGTCACCAGCCAAGTTACAGTGCCACCTAATAGACCACACCTACAGGAACTCAGAATTCAGGTGCAGTGTGTGTTGTAAGATATTTGCTAGCTCAATGGAGATTCAAAACCATGCCATAGAGCATGGACCAGGTGCCCGACGCTATGGATGTAGCCAATGCAGTCAGAAGTTCTTCTTTAGTGCAGAGCTGGAGAATCACGCATTCATGCACACAGTTGGGGAAAATTCTATATCCTTGACACCAGTCTCTTCTGATCTGACTTGCACTGACTGTAACAAAACATTTACTAGCAGTGTAAGTTTGATCAACCATAGGAAGATCCATGAACACAATGAAAACAACTTTAAATGTAATGTATGTGCTGAGGTATTCCACAGTATGGGGGCATTACAGAGCCACTTCTGTCACTCGGAACTTGACAAACAAACCTACCGGTGCCCAGAGTGTGACAAAGAGTTGCCTTCATTAAGTAGCTTACAGAGTCATCTCCGGATACATAGACTAGGTAAGTCAGAACACACCAATAGACTGATAGAAACTCCCTCACTAGTGAGACATCAGAACAGTGCAGTACATTCATAGATATTTAGTACTGGTGAAACATCAGAAAAAGGAAGTACATTCATAAATCTCAGGTACTTTTGGAACAGGGAAGTACACTTACAGGTCTCAGCTACTCGTGAAACGTCAAAACAGGGCAGTAAATCCATAGATTTCTGGTACAAATAAAGTGCATTTTCAAGCCAGTAATTTGATTACTGTGGTGGGTTCTGATTATGTGCTTGTGAGAAAATCTAATTAGGAAGTTTCATTGCTTTGCATTTATGATCTTAGTGTATGGTTTGTTTACAAATATCATAAAGCCACAATAGTGTAAAAATGTTCATTTGAGATGCAAGTTAATTTGGATTGTTTTTGTAAGAGTTATCTCCCATGTGAAATATTTTTGTATCATTGGTGTTATATGTTACAGGGAAGGAGAACCGTCAGAGCCACATCCGTCCCTACCCTGGGGGAAAACCATTCCTCTGTCCTGTGTGTGGCAAGTCATTTGTCAGGAAGTGCCAAATAAAAGAACACATGAGGGTTCATTTTGCACAGGTAAATATTTCTGTGTAGATATACATAGTGTGTCCTAGGTCATAAATGTTTACTTATAAACAGTGTGTCCTAGGTCATCATTGTTTACTTATAAACAGTGTGTCCTAGTTCATCATTGTTTACCTATAAACAGTGTATCCTAGGTCATCATTGTTTACTTATAGACAGTGTATCCTAGGTCATCATTGTTTACTTATAAACAGTGTATGCTAGGTCATCATTGTTTACTTATAAACAGTGTATCCTAGGTCATCATTGTTTACTTATAAACAGTGTATCCTAGGTCATCATTGTTTACTTATAAACAGTGTATCCTAGGTCATCATTGTTTACTTATAAACAGTGTATCCTAGGTCATCATTGTTTACCTATAAACAGTGTATCCTAGGTCATCATTGTTTACTTATAAACAGTGTATTCTAGGTCATCATTGTTTAATTATAAACAGTGTATCCTAGGTCATCATTGTTTACCTATAAACAGTGTATCCTAGGTCATCATTGTTTACCTATAAACAGTGTATCCTAGGTCATCATTGTTTACCTATAAACAGTGTATCCTAGGTCATCATTGTTTACCTATAGACAGTGTATCCTAGGTCATCATTGTTTACTTATAGACAGTGTATCCTAGGTCATCATTGTTTACTTATAAACAGTGTATCCTAGGTCATCTTGTTTACCTATAGACAGTGTATCCTAGGTCATCATTGTTTACCTATAGACAGTGTATCCTAGGTCATCATTGTTTACTTATAAACAGTGTATCATAGGTCATCATTGTTTACCTATAGACAGTGTATCCTAGGTCATCATTGTTTACCTATAAACAGTGTATCCTAGGTCATCACTGTTTACTTATAAACAGTGTATCCTAGGTCATCTTGTTTACCTATAGACAGTGTATCATAGGTCATCATTGTTTACCTATAGACAGTGTATCCTAGGTCATCATTGTTTACCTATAAACAGTGTATCCTAGGTCATCACTGTTTACTTATAAACAGTGTATCCTAGGTCATCTTGTTTACCTATAGACAGTGTATCCTAGGTCATCATTGTTTACTTATAAACAGTGTATCCTAGGTCATCTTGTTTACCTATAGACAGTGTATCCTAGGTCATCATTGTTTACCTATAAACAGTGTATCCTAGGTCATCATTGTTTACTTATAGACAGTGTATCCTAGGTCATCATTGTTTACCTATAAACAGTGTATCCTAGGTCATCTTGTTTACCTATAGACAGTGTATCCTAGGTCATCATTGTTTACTTATAAACAGTGTATCATAGGTCATCTTGTTTACTTATAAACAGTGTATCGTAGGTCATCATTGTTTACTTATAGACAGTGTATCCTAGGTCATCATTGTTTACCTATAGACAGTGTATCCTAGGTCATCTTGTTTACCTATAGACAGTGTATCCTAGGTCATCTTGTTACTTATAAACAGTGTATCCTAGGTCATCATTGTTTACCTATAGACAGTGTATCATAGGTCATCATTGTTTACTTATAGACAGTGTATCCTAGGTCATTATTGTTTACCTATAGACAGTGTATCCTAGGTCATCATTGTTTACCTATAAACAGTGTATCCTAGGTCATCATTGTTTACCTATAAACAGTGTATCCTAGGTCATCACTGTTTACCTATAAACAGTGTATTCTAGGTCATCATTGTTTACTTATAAACAGTGTATCCTAGGTCATCTTGTTTACCTATAGACAGTGTATCCTAGGTCATCATTGTTTACCTATAAACAGTGTATCCTAGGTCATCACTGTTTACTTATAAACAGTGTATCCTAGGTCATCTTGTTTACCTATAAACAGTGTATCATAGGTCATCATTGTTTACCTATAGACAGTGTATCATAGGTCAATTTATACATATGCAAAAACATTTGCAATCTTTGACCGGCATTCAGTTTGGAGTTGTTACTTTGTGAGGGAATGTCAGAGAAATCTATTGTCCAGAGTTTAGTGTTGAATGGGAGATGTATTAAACCATGTATTCAGTACGAAAAATACTGCCTTTCTTTCTCCAGGATTCCAGCCAGCTGGCAGACATGCAGAGTTTCCTAGATGTTGATGTAAATAGTGACAATGCCAGCATCACCAGTGATGATAACGGCGATGAGCCCACTTCCAACATGTCGTTTACGGCGCTAGATGGTGGAAAATCTGGGGAAGGCAGCAATTCTCTCACCACCAATGATATAAATAATCATGTTGAAGGAGGGAGGCAAAAAGAACAATCAATGGTTTGTTGAAATGTTATCCATAGATTGGAGGGAGGTTAACAGAATAGTCACTTGTAGTGTAATCATTGGTGGACCATTGATGAAGACCAGGTGTTAAATTAAAGGGAGACAACAATCAACTTCATTGAATATGAACCATTGGTTAGAGGGAAGTGAAAAGAATGGTCAGTTGTATGACATGTGAATGTTTATGTTTAATGAAATGGAAGAAAGTGAACTATAATTGAATACTATGTGAATTATTGCTGAAAGGGGAGGTAAAGAGAACAGTAATTTGTATAGAATGTGAATTTTTGCTGAAAGGGGAGGTAAAGAGAACAGTTATTTGTATAGAATGTGAATAATTGATGAAAGGGAGGCAAAAGATGAATCATTGCTGAAAGGGGAGGTAAAGAGAACAGTCATATGTATAAAATGTGAATTGATGATGAAAGGGAGGTAAAAAGAACATTTATTTGTAAAGAATGTGGATAACAGATAAAATGTGAATTATTGATGAATAGAAGGTGAATTGAAATGTCAACTTGTGGAAAAATACCTATAAGAAGAGAGAAAGGGATTTGTACCTGAGTAAGTTTTACTAGTCACCAGTCAACACGCTCTTGTTGATGGTTTAAGTGTTCAGAACTTCTTATTGTTAATTGTTTAAGTATTTTGAATTTCATTGGAGAGATGTTATACTGAATTTCACCAGTCATAGATGTAGTTAGTATTCCTGTAAGGATTTTAGATTTTTAGCCACACTTTACCAATTCTATCTGTAATGATGTTTCACTTTCATCAAATTAAAGTGTCCGTTTCATTTGAAATGGTTAGACTCATTCAAGTGCTTAGTACATCTTGTACTTTTAGACATTCCATCCTTAGGTGGCAAGGGTGACATTTATGTAGAATATTCTTACTGGTTCCTTTTTAACTGGCCTGCCTGAAAGGCATGTGAGCTTATTTCCTGGCACAGTGTCTGCAGTCTGTCTATCCATATCGCATCAAACTTTTTTGGCATAAATTACAAATTCTCAAAACCAAAATTATATTTAGCGAGCAGTATGCCAAGATTGAAGGCTTTTTAATGTTTAAATAATGTCCTTGGCCTATTTTCAATGTTGAAGGGGTCAAATGTTTTTTAAAAAATATCTTCAACAACTTTTAATACAATATGTAATGTATTGTAAAGATTATGTATTTACCTGGGGATGACCATGACGGTTACCAGAATAACTCCGGTCAATAAGATCTTCTCTTTACGTTATCGCAGAATTCACAGGTAGATTAATTTAAAGTCATGGAAATTTTTATGAGAGTTCTCACACACTGATTTCATTTGATGTTTCAATCCAATGTCTTTTTGTAAATTGTTTTCTGATAGCCTCATTGTTATACCTACTGAAAATGTACCTTGTGCTGACCCGGTTTCTAATGCTCATTGCAAAATCCACTAGGTCTATATATGACTTTTCTGAAGTTTTTAATTCATTACTTCTTCTTTCTCTATTACTTTTAATTCTGTCATCATATATACTCCTCCTGTGTACTCCTTTGTATGGTTACTATACCAGGTAGTTGAATGTGGTTATTTTTGAGTGGTTAACTACTGTTAACATTTTCCAGAATAAAGTTTATATGTCATCAGCAACATTTTTCCATGATAAAATTAACTATCATATACAACTGTACAACATTATTCCAGGGTAAAATTGACTGTCATCGACAACCTTTTTCCAGGGTAAAATTGACTGTCATCGACAACCATTTTCCAGGGTAAAATTGACTGTCATCGACAACCTTTTTCCAGGGTAAAATTGACTGTCATCGACAGCCTTTTTCAAGGTAAAATTGATTGTCATATACAACTGTACAACATTTTTCCCGTGTAAAATTAACTGCATCAACAACTGTACAATTTTTTTCCAATGTTTAATTAACTGTCATCAACATCCTTTTTCCAGGGTAATATTAACTGCATCAAGAATACATTTTTCTTTAAAATTGATGTCCTTTTCTATCCTAGTGACTTGGAAATTCCATGGAACTGTAACACCTCAATTTTTTGTGATGACTGTGGCAGTATTGAATGAAAACCTGACATCTCATGTAATTTAGTCCCAATAACTAAGGGAGGTCATGTGTCACAGACTTTGTTAAATACCTGTGTAGTCTTCATCATATGAAAGACTGTTGGAAAGCCAAATAACAGAACATTGGAGTGCCAGTTACATGAAGTAGATTACTATAAATCCTTGTTTAGGAGATTAACACAGTCTTGATATCCTGGTATTTTGATTAGAGCTTATTTGCCCTCATTTTGCAGCTGTTCTATTAAGTGCTAAGATTGTTATGGTATGCTGATTATTAACATTATTTTATTGTTGTTTTCAATTTTTTATATGCTATTGCTGCTGAAGTGTAGATTGTTTAAAGATGGAATAAAAAAAATGAAACTGTGAATAAATATGCACATACCACGTTTTTGGGAAGTGTTTTTATTTCATTCTAGTGGGTTCACACATGCCATAAACAGGAGATTGCAAAATCACAGGAAAACAATGTGGAACCTGTGATTATGATCAGTTTAAGGGGCATATTTCAGCCTTCCACGGACATAAATGTGAGTGGTTTAAAAAAGACATTTTCTTTCAGACTTTGATGTACCTGATGATGCTAAGTGATACTAAATGCTGCAGTTTAATCCTTGATCTGGAAATCAAAGCACCAGCCTAGCTGCCATCTTGGATTTTGTATGGATGTCATATTGGTGTACATTACATGGAATTGATTTCCACCATTTTTTTAAAAACAGACTTCAGTCTGTATGGATCATGAAACAGCTAGTCTCCATTTGTATTAGCCACTTTTCCGGATGTGAGCCTGGTCTTTTAGATGAAACAATGCCGCTAAATGGATCAATCTGTCCTACCAGTTATATTTCTTAGAAATATAATAACATAGAAAAAGTACATGTTTTTACACGATTCTGTTTAGAAATCTGACTGACAACATGAATGTCTGCACATATCTAACTTAATCAGTAGCAGCACAGAATTGAATCTATTTTCATTTCTGTGCAAGGACATCTCTGGAGAGAAGAGATGTATCCAAATAGTTATATATACATCAATGGACAGTTTTAATAATATTTTAAACAAGAACCTTTTCACTGACCTCCATTTGGAGTCAACTTTATTTCCATTGTAAAATCAATGACCTACATATACATGTATGAGATGTATCGACTTGTTGGTTTGATTCAAACCCGAAGCATGGCTTTGTTGACTGGTGTGTTTCACTCTCTAGCTTCACATAACTAACCCACTTTCTCCTTATCATATCTGAAAACTTACTCTCTCTCCCCCACCCCCAACCCCCAACCCCACCCCACCCCACCCCACCCCACTCCACCCCCACCCCCATTTGAATCGGAAACAAATGGTGGCTGTATATCTTCCTTATCTTCCAACTCATTACAGAGTTTTCTTGTATCTAACAAAGAAACTGAAATGTTGATTAAAATCAAGTATGTGAGGCATTTAGAGTAAGTGTATGGAAACAATGTTATGTGGCTTCATGTATGTGTGACAAGTGTTTCTAGAATGTCTGATTTGCCACAATCAAAATGTAATTATAATTATCAAGTTCTGTGATGTCTGGTTCTTCTGGAATCTAAAGCACACCACATTATTATTAGTGTGTTGTAAACAATAAGCAGTTCATGTATTTTTATTTGATTAGTTTTTCTTTGTCATCCACTTTTGACTGAATACATCTTCAGAGAATGGATCCTCGTCACTATTATCACCATCTGGACTACCTCTGTAGGGGATGGGGTCTGATGCGGTAGGTTCAAAAAAGTCTAGCACAGGGATAGTAGAGGATACCTTTAATACAGAAAAAAGATAGAAGGTTACCACACTGTAAATTCCTAAATGAAAAAGCAATCTTTAAAAAAGTCCTCAACGGACAAGGTATAAAGCAACCCCCTGTAAAAGTTCCCAACAGGAGAGCTATTTGTGTAGTAACCCGTAAAGTTCCCGTTAGACGATGTATGAAACAAGCCCCGAAGTTTAAATTGGTGACGTTCGAAACAACCCTTAATGTCCCCACCAGGCAAGATCTAAATCAATCCTCATAGTCCCCACCAGGCAAAGTTTATGGTAACCCTTATAATCCCCAACAGGCGAGGTATATGGTAATCCGTAAAGTCCCCACCAGGAGAGGTATATGGTAACCCGTAAAGTCCCCTCCAGGCGAGTTATATGGTAACCCTTAAAGTCTCCACCAGGAGAGGTATATGGTAACCTTTAAAGTCCCAACCAGGAGAGGTTTAAGGTAACCCATAACATCCCCTCCAGATGAGGTTTACGGTAACCCTTAAAGTCCCCTCCAGGCGAGGTATATGATAACCCATAACATCCCCTCCAGGCGAGGTATACATAGTAACCTTTAAAGTCCCTTCCAAAAAAAATGCTAGTTTTATGATACCACTTTAAGTCCTCACCATGCGAGGTATATACAACGACATAACATTAGGAAGTCTATAAAATCAGAGGGTTTCCGTTGAGTACCAATAAGTTTATATTACCAGAGGATTTCCACTGAGCAAGTTTTTGACAAATTTCTGGAGCTCCACTTCTCTTTCTTCTGCGAGGTCTCGTGTATATCGCCGAAATATTTTTAACCCTGAAAGTATTGAGTTCCATCAGAGAGATATTGAATAACATCAGGGAAAATGTAATGCATCTAAACAAATACGACGGATATGTAATAAACATATGAAGAAGAGAGGTAGAATTATCCTGTGTGTAAGTTATGTAATCAGACGTCAAGTAATCGAGCCAGGAAGGTATAAGAGTATGTCAGACATGTTAACGTAACTTTTTCTAGTTAGGTAATCATATGTTAAATTCACTACACTTAATTAGACATCACCTATATGGCCTCAAGTTGATATTTTTTCTGTGCTCTATGGTGATAAAGACAGGGCATTATACATGTATACAAAAGTACATATCATTACAAGAAGCTTCTAGTATTTACATTGTGATACTGACATGAGTGTGGGTTTGTAGGATAGTCGTGATGGGGACAATGTCCACCATTGCCTCGAGTGATAGTTCACAACGAACCCGGCACCTAAGTCTTGCTAAAGTCCGCGATCAAGGTCATTGCATCCTTGTCAGCTTGCGAATTATGTATACCAGTGTTGCATTTACAACGAACTCTCGCCTTTGATATGACTGACTAATTAGTTACCACTAGGTTCTCGACTTTGATATGGGTGGTGTTCTAACCATTGAGCTCACGTCTTTGGGGAAGACCCATTGACCACAAACTCGTCAGCTGGCCATACCAGTTATAAAACATTCAGTGACCCTTTTAGCGACTTTAAAACCAGTTTTCATCAATGGTTTATTCTCTTAAACCACTGGCACTGTTTTTACTGATTAATTCAGATAAAATCCTTCAAGCAGTAAACTTGGCGGTTCCCTACCTTGTAACTTTGGTATAAATACAGGTCCCTGACTGTTCCCTACCTTGTAACTTTGGTATAAATACAGGTCCCTGACTGTTCTCTACCTTGTAACTTTGGTATAAATACAGGTCCCTGACTGTTCCCTACCTTGTAACTTTGTTATAAATACAGGTCCCTGACTGTTCCCTACGTAACTTTGGTATAAATACAGGTCCCTGACTGTTCCCTACCTTGCAACTTTGGTATAAATACAGGTCCCTGACTGTTCCCTACCTTGTAACTTTGGTATAAATACAGGTCCCTGACTGTTCCCTACCTTGTAACTTTGGTATAAATACAGGTCCCTGACTGTTCCCTACCTTGTAACTTTGGTATAAATACAGGTCCCTGACTGTTCCCTACCTTGTAACTTTGGTATAAATACAGGTCCCTGACTGTTGTCTTCTTTCTGAAAGTAATCCACCAAAACTCTACGAAAATTTAAAAAGCTTTTGTAAGTTCTTTTCACACACATTGTTCTTCCGTCTGACCATAATACGTCCACAATAAATAAATAGTCACATGTGCTTTTACATTTCACCTCGGTGAATCCAGAAATATCTGCTGACGTCACAGAAACATTCGTGCACGTATTTTGCTGCATGATTTCGTAGAGCTCGGGAGACAATTCCCCGCTAAGGCTGACATTTCTGAACACCTCCATTTTCCAGATATCAATTTTCTGTTGGTACCGTGTCCCACTCATCGTGCAAATAAAAAAAAGTAACACGATAAATTTCGTAAAGCTATTGGTCGTAAGTACAAATTATAGTGAGAGTTCTTGTGATTGTTGCGCGTGTTGCGTTGATGCCCTGTGTTTCACCTGTTCATATTTTGATGTCCTGGATCTTACGTGTGTTGTATCAATGCTCTTCTTCACGTGTGTGTTATGTTGATCATGTATCATGAATATTTTGATATTTTGACCATGTATAATTTGTGTTTGATGTCCTGCTTCACGTGTGTGTTGATGTCCTTAATTAAGTATATTTTGAGTTTGATGTCCTGCTTCACGTGTGTGTTGTGTTGATGTCCTTAATTAAGTATATTTTGAGCTTGATGTCCTGCTTCACGTGTGTGTTGTGTTGTTGTCCTTAATTAAGTATATTTTGAGTTTGATGTCCTGTTTCACGTGTGTGTGTTGATGTCCTTAATTAAGTATGTTTTGAGTTTGATGTCCTGCTTCACGCGTGTGTTGTGTTGACGTCCTTATTTAAGGATATTTTGAGTTTGATGTCCTGTTTCACGTGTGTGTTGATGTCCTTAATTAAGTATGTGTTGTGTTGATGTCCTGCTTCGTGTGTGTTGTGTTGATGTCCTTAATTAAGTATATTTTGAGTTTGATGTCCTGCTTCACGTGTGTGTTGTGTTGATGTCCTTAATTAAGTATATTTTGAGTTTGATGTCCTGCTTCACGTGTGTGTTGTGTTGATGTCCTTAATTAAGTATATTTTGAGTTTGATGTCCTGTTTCACGTGTGTGTGTTGATGTCCTTAATTAAGTATGTTTTGAGTTTGATGTCCTGCTTCACGTGTGTGTTGTGTTGACGTCCTTATTTAAGGATATTTTGAGTTTGATGTCCTGTTTCACGTGTGTGTTGATGTCCTTAATTAAGTATATTTTGAGTTTGATGTACTGCTTCACGTGTGTGTTGTGTTGATGTCCTTGATTAAGTATAATTTGTGTTTGATGTCCTGTTTCACGTGTGAGTTGTGTTGATGTCCTTAATTAAGTATAATTTGTGTTTGATGTCCTGCTTCGCGTGTGTGTTGTGTTGATGTCCTTAATTAAGTATATTTTGAGTTTGATGTCCTGCTTCACGTGTGTGTTGTGTTGATGTCCTTAATTAAGTATATTTTGAGTTTGATGTCCTGCTTCACGTGTGTGTTGATGTCCTTAATTAAGTATATTTTGAGTTTGATGTCCTGCTTCACGTGTGTGTTGTGTTGATGTCCTTAATTAAGTATGTTTTGAGTTTGATGTTCTGCTTCACGTGTATGTTGTGTTGATGTCCTTGATTAAGTATAATTTGTGTTTGATGTCCTGCTTCACGTGTGTGTTGATGTCCTTAATTAAGTATATTTTGAGTTTGATGTCCTGCTTCACGTGTGTGTTGTGTTGATGTCCTTAATTAAATATATTTTGAGTTTGATGTCCTGCTTCACGTGTGTATTGTGTTTGCTTCCTTAATTAAGTATGTTTTGAGTTTGATGTACTGCTTCACGTGTGTATTGTGTTTGCTTCCTTAATTAAGTATGTTTTGAGTTTGATGTACTGCTTCACGTGTGTGTTGTGTTGATGTCCTTAATTAAGTATGTTTTGAGTTTGATGTACTGCTTCACGTGTGTGTTGTGTTGATGTCCTTAATTAAGTATATTTTGAGTTTGATGTACTGCTTCACGTGTGTGTTGTGTTCATGTCCTTAATTAAGTATATTTTGAGTGTGGTAGGTCCTGCTTCACCTGTTGTGATGATCAATGTCGTAGTAAATACATGTATTGTTATTAAATTATCTACGAGCTATATCTTGTTATGCTAATCACATCACATCATTATTCCTGATGCCAACAGCAAAGTTGACAAAAGGTCATTAAGTTAGAGAAAAGAAACCGATTGAATAAGGCGTACCTGCTTAGTCATCCTGTATACAAATAGTGTGTACGTCCGACATATCCCCACAACACCCCTCCACTAGGCAACAGTACACCGCGACGCCCCTCTACTGGACACCGTCACGCCCCTCCACGGGACACCGCTTCACCCCTCCCCGGCACCGCCACCGCCACCGCCACTGCCTCACACACCCCCCGGGACACCGCCAACAACTTCCTCTCTGTACCAACTGATCACAGATCCTTACGATCTCCCGAATGTTACGATTGACGTGGTTGTAAAAAGTCATATACTCCGTTATACAGCCACGTTGTTCTCGTAGTTCAGGGGTCAGATCAGAGACCACAGCAGCAACAACAACAAAAGTGTCACTAACTCGTACACTTGTATGTAGGTCTGATGTAATTTCCGCGGTATCAGTTGATAAACTACTCAATCAGTTATCACATGTAGTTATTTTTAATCCCGCGATCTCCGAACTTTACTCCCAGAGACCACATACAAGGAACTTGTTATCACAAAGGTGGTGTCAATGAACCTAAAATGTCGACATCAGTAAGATTCATCGTTAAATGACGTCATGTTACTGTAGAAACGGAATCATGCATTGTTTCATCAATATAAGTTTCCGCGATAGTAAAGATATTTTGTTTTTACATACATGTATACATAAGAACAACGAGGCGTTCCTGTGTGCATAACATCACACCATCTATCATAGTATTTCCACTTACAGATATATATATATGTATATATATATACACGTATGTGTACGTACGCCAGGTATTATTTTAGTTAAGTTTAATCTAATGGACGCAGAGGACTTGATGAACGATAGCACTGTCTAATATATTATGTGTATATCTTCGGGGCATAAGTGTCTTTTAACAAAATTCCTGAATGTTGTTAATTGCCTATAATTGCATTATGTCCACACGTAGGTAAACACACATTTGACATGTAACAGGTCTATCATTAGCTTTGCTATTTATTTCCTTGTTGCACGTTTTGATATTGATGCGATGAAAGTGAAGTAGTCAACTACTTAGAACAAGCGCCAATGGTGTGAAACTTCTGATGCTGCAACTTCGGAAGGCTTGAAACCTGACACTACCACTTCATGGTTCTGATTCTGACTTTAAATTTAAAAACGTCGGGTCAGCAAATTGTCTCGTGACGTCAACAATGACCTAATAGCACGGAGTAATTGATATTGGGGTGATGCCAGTGGATGTGTTAGTGATCTTCATCTATAATAGTAACGGTAAGGAAAGGAGACATTTATTTGTAACGTTATTTGCATATAACGGTAGTCTTCCTGTGTTTTGATACATTTTTTGTCTTCAATAACAAAACATAAACGAATTTCATGAATGCAAGTTTTTTGTTGCAAATTATTTCTGTTAACTATCTTTAGATATTATCAAAAATGGACGACAGGAACGGGGACATGCGTTTCGTTTTAATAACAGAAATTATTTGTCATAAAATGAGTATTTATGAAACTCGTCAAGATTTTTCATTTTAATCTCACCAATAAAGTGAATCTCATTACAGCCAGAAAGTAGAGAAAAAACCCTGACAAGTTTCGCGATAAATATTGCTGTGTAGCTCATTTATGATCCATCGGTCTATACAGTCGTAACGTTAAGTTAAGGATGACTTTGGGTCGTGTTGACCTTTGAAGAATTATCATTTAAGGACGTTCGAGAGATTTTATTTTGCGTGGCGCGATTATATAGTAAGATAAAGAAAAAGGAACACTAAACACGGAAATCGATACAATTAAAAAATAAACAAGCTAATAACACTTAAACACCTTCACATAGATCCAACAGAAAAGCTAGCAAAACATGCAAAATATAAATGAATTAAAGGATTGTCAAGTATGTTTAGGCCAGTTGAACACCCTTGTCATTATTTCTTGTTTAAGCCAGTTGAACACCCTCGTAATTATTTCTTGTTTAGGCCAGTTGAACACCCTCGTCATTATTTCTTGTTTAGCCCAGTTGAACACCCTCGTCATTATTTCTTGTTTAGCCCAGTTGAACACCCTCGTCATTATTTCTTGTTTAGGCCAGTTGAACACCCTCGCCATTATTTCTAAATCGACTTTATGTATATATACATTTAATGTATGTTTATCTGTAATCTAATCTAAAATCAATGAGTACGTAGTCAAAGGTATGGAGTTCTCGAGGATTTTGTGTAATCTTCTATGGCAAAGATGTACATGTACTCAAAAAACCCTATCTTTAGAGATTGTGTTCAGTACTATTACCTTTACCATGTGAGTATCATTTGAACCATGACGGCATCTAGCGACAAATTTTGGAACTACTACTTTCATTCATAAAAAATCCCACATTGAACCAATAGGGCGCTGTGTATTCTTCATTGCAATAGCCACTCCCAGCCTCAGCCTTGACCCATGATGACCCGTACCCAGACTACAAGAGATACTTATCTATTGGTAGAATTTCTACTAAATACTGTAGAAGTAATAAAAATGTTTAGTTCAATGAGGCGTAGTTTATAGCCATCAAACATCAAAAGGATTGGATAAAATTTTCAATAAATAATAATGGCCATACAAAACGTTGAAAAGAATCCTCCATCCCTTGAGGCTAAATGGTGCACCGGGAGACCATCAATTTGGCTTTTTTGCTCGAGGTACTCTTCGACATTATGAAGTACCACTATACAAATGATGTGTCTCCCAAGAGAGAAGATATATAAAATAACATGTTTTCACTGCATCTGACCCACGCCGTAAACCCAAAAGGACGGAGAACTTTTGTCCCTTACGGTATTGGTGGTGGTGACCACGTTTGGTTTCAATCTACACAGCGGTTCTTGAGAAGAAGATAAAAATGCGATAAATCAACGAAAGACAATGACGGGCAAAAGGTTCAGTTAACCTAAAAGTTGTTATGTCATGGTGGCTTTTCCATTATATGACCTTCGAAAATAGGCCCTTTGTATTTTCTTCATGTTATTGGAAAACTTGATACAGGTACATATTTTCCACATAGTCGTTCATAGATTGTGGACAACATATTTCATAAAAGTTCCACTCGGTTTGTTGTTATCATAATGATTGGTTTAATCATTTTACCGCCAACGTCATCTTATCACAATGCGACAGTTCAATAGTCCAAAGCGTCGTTGTATTAACAATATAATTTTTTTGTGATAAAATGAATATTTGATGCATATTACAAATATTCAGCTACATAAACATTATTTCAATTAATGCTATTTTATCCGTGTAACTGTTACATTTTTCTGTTTTAACTGTTGTTTGAACTCTGTAAGTTGTACAATATTTAAAACCAATTCAGTATTTACATTAATCACAGTTCAAACATCTGTGACACAAACATTTTACTAAGGTATATGGCGTTTTTGTTGTACACGCCTTTTGACGGTTTGACGCATAAAATTCTATCAACGACACTCCATTACGTCAAATTTACACAACCAGGCGTCCGTCCTTTTACCCACATTGCCGGGACGTCCGTTCCGTTACTCGCGCCGTCCAGTCGTCCGCCTTGTTACCACCGTTAAATGTTAAGACTGATACGACGTTAACCTCACAATCTAGAAAATTATGAACAAATGAAACTGAGAAATGTACAATTAAACGTTTATATATATTTATATTGAGTCCTATTGTGGTATGTTGTGGTATGTTGTACCACTTAGTCAGTATTAAACATCCGGTAATACCCTGTACTCGAAATGCTTCTTAACATATTTGTACTGGTGAAATACCCACGGTCCATACAATTCTGGTACGTGTTCGGGGCCACTTCCGGTATATTTTGTCAAGAAATTCAAACCGATATCGGCATTAAAGGATGGCTCAAGAAAGAATGGAAAGGAAAATCTGTCCTCACCAATGTCTACTACTCTGTGACGCGTTGCGCGGAATCGACCTCCAAGCATGCGTGAAAATACGTCACCAATGTTCATGACAAGGCTATTGGTGCGCGGAGCAACTGCTACCCAATGTCCATCTGTTGTCATAACTTCCAAACCGCTATAACCAAAGGTCGCAAGCAAGGTCATGAATCCCGTGTCTGTGTGTTCCGGTGTTGTGATCACTTTGCCGTTGTCCAGCAGACACACTTCCGGGGGTGTTTTTTCCCAAGTGGGGTAGTGAATCATGCGGAACGTAGTTAAAGGTTTGTCATCAAATAGACCAATAAATGCGTTCTCGTCAATTCCTATTCCAAGTGCAGTCAATCGCAAGATCTCCATGGCGGTATTGTGCATAATGTCAAATGCTTTCGTCAGCTCGGCTTTGAACTCCAAAGTGCCATCTTCTTCAGGCCAAACGTTCTCCTCGTAAATCCATGGCGCAGGTGTCGTTTTCCTGTCAAATTCCGGGTACACAGGTCCAAATTCAAATCCTTCTTTTCTGCTTGGTTCTCCTTCGATCACAGGGAAATAGCCACGGAACATGTTGCTATTTTCTGGAGCCCATTGCTTACGCAGTAACAGTTTCTTCTTTTCATATGGCCGACTGAAAAACCACTTACAAGCCTTGAGAAGAATGTCGAAATCGAGTCCTTTAACGTTATCTACCGTCAGAAATCCTACGTTCTCGAGTGCATCAACCAAGCTTTTAGACAATGCTACTCGGTCTGTGCGTATATTTGACACGTCTATGTTCGGCAGTTCCAACGACTCCGACGTCATGCTGTCGTTCTTTATCAACTATCTGTTTAAAATGAAGTTCAGGTGTATTTTCATTACGGTTGTACATTTCGTTATTGTATTTGCTGTCTCTCACGATGTTGTTATATTTATAGTGACATAAGTGACAACAATGACACAATTGCATAAATTGCTAAATAATTGAAATTCTATGTGTATGATTTAATATGTAGTGCAAAAATATGTATGCGATATATATCTTCTCTATATCCGCAATAACAAGCTTATGGTTATAACGTGATCAGGACTTAAATAATACAACCTCTACTAACAGGAAATGTACAAAAACTGTACGTCACATGTCTGCTTATAATGTATTATGAACAATCAGCTGGTTTATAACAGGAACGTGTTCAGCAGGAAGTGACAATGATAGAAGCACTCACCAGACGTGTTGTTTCGACGGTATCTCAGTGTCTCGTATAGTTAACATATGTAACCTGTGTACAGGACCATCAATGTACCTGATAAGAATATATCGTTACATATCATCCCAGTGTAAACTAGTCATCTTATTACAAGGTCACAATGGTGTCATTCTACAAATGAACATGTCATCGACGTTCTTTTCACCTTTAATACGCGTTGTTTTGTTGTGTACACTATGATTGAATACTAAAATATACTGATCCCAGAGCTATCTTGGCGCCCACCATTGTTTAATCTTGACTTTACCTTTAAAAATGGATATTTTCGTTTTCCCTCATCTGTATTTACTTTAGTTATAAAGAATTTGAACATATTTCTCATGAAATAGCGACAATAAACTTTAACTCTTAAATCCAAGATGGCCGCTTGTCGGCCGTTTCGGTTTTACTGATCAATTCCAAAATCAAAAGGGCACAACTATAGAGCAAGGAAATCTACATATGAAATTAGACAAAGATCAATTTAATACTTTATCGAGAACTAAACTTTAATTGCGAAAATCCACGACCGCTACCGATAGGCCACTTTTTTTCTGGTCAGTAACAAAATCAAACGAGCATAATTAAGCACTAACAGAAACCTACATATGAAATTTTAAAATGATCCATTTTGTACTTCCACAGAAAGACTGATAACTGATAACAAACAAAACTGACTAGGCACAACGGACTGAGGGGGAACCTGCATATGAAAGAGGAAATTATACATTTCCACTGCTTCTCTAGAAGTAGCAATAACAAGAATTGTTTAAGGACGTAAGGATGTACTCACTCAAGTATAGACTATTGCGACGGTCTTTCAGACAAAATTTACCGATCCTGGCCTTCTCATCGGCTGAAATATCGAAAAGAGTTACAGCCCTCTAGCGGCAATAATAATGCCGCGATCTTTCAAATCGCTATTTTAAAAGCATCCAAAATTAGTTTATTTTTTTAATAACAATACAATTACTATATATTTTAAAAAAAAGAAGCACAGTGTGGTTAAACTATTGATAAATTTTGAACAATATATTTTACAGAATTCTCGACATGACGTAAGCATACAGAACACTGTACGTGCGAACTGATAAGAAGCTAGTCTGGGGGCTTGGTTTGAATTGTCAACTAACAGCACTTATAAACAAACAAAACTTACAAACAGAACATCAATTTTGTTTTAATCCTTGTCGCTGTGGCAAGATCGTCTTTATATATAACATCACTTTACCTCAGTAGACGTCACCGAATTGGACTGTTCGTCCCACGCGCACACCCGACATAATTATTATAGACATAATTACTGGAAGAAAAGTCTAACCATGATACTTCAAGGAAGATAGGCATGTAAATACATTTAATGTAATTACTTACACTTTTATCTATCTGAAATGCTGTGTACACCTTATTTACTTTCCTCAACTACAAATATAATTATAATAAGTAAGGACTATTACTTTGCAATACATTCAAAATAAAGAAGTAGGTACAAAGTCCTTTCGATTTGTCTAAATCCTCATATTGATAGGATAGTAATTGCAACATCTTGGGTATTTCAAAGGTTTTATTTCGTCAACTTCATCATAGAGCTATTTATCATTTGGCTTGTTGACGCTAAATATATGGTTGTGTGTATTTTGTTATTTTATTTTTTTTTAACCTATTTTGATTTGTTCACATTATTGTCGTCAAATTTGAAATAAGAATTAAAGAAGATATAAAATCGCTTAAGATTAAGAAAAATAGCCTCTGGTTCTCTTATTTTAGTAATTTTTGCATTCCAAAGTGTAGGAGTATGGGGAAAGTAATATAGCTTTGCGGTTATTTGTGAACATTTTTCATTACGTTTAGCCTTTCAGTACTTTCAGTACTTTGATTTTAGTATTAGTGTTACTATTCATCTGGTTTCTGACATTTATTTGAATCAATTTGAATCTTTCGCATTCATATCACAAGTTTCAACAATTTAGATCACTGAAATCACTGACGTGTCATACAATGAAGAAGAACAAAACAACTGTATGATGCTGTATCTTATTCTACAAGTACTGAAAAAAAGTTTGAATTTCTTGCGTGTCTTTTTTTACAATCATCTACCCTAATACCTGGCAGATAAAAGTTCGTCTCCCCTAGCTGAGAACCTAATTGTTAGGTAAAATCCAATTCAATACCTACTTCCCTCACATGAAAAACAAAGTCTACCCAATTTACTGCAAAAAATGAGTTGTAAACATGACCCGAGCTTCAAGACTTTGCTTTCCATCACATCGTTTCTCTGCAACGGTTTTGCTTGGATTGCGAGTTGTCGTTCTTCTCATATCAAACTGATGTTTCCAGTGAAAGTTTTATTAAACTATATCAAATATTGATTCAATATGATTAAAAAATATTTTACTTACATCAAATGTATTCAATGGGCTTAGGCAAAAGTTACCAAACTTTTAGTAAGCCCTTTCCCAATAATATGTAACGAACGACGTCTCGCGACCCGCTAGTGGCCGCCCCGCGGACGTCACCTCTGTAGTTACAATAATAAAAGTGCCCAATGGGTTCGACTGCCGCTTTCGCTTGCAGATTTCACTAACAAATTTCGACCAAGTACTGGCAATAATGACGAGAAGAATTAAACAGATTCAACAATTTATTATATATTTTACAAGAGTAAAGTTTAGCATGAAAGACATTTAACCGGCTCAGTGAGTGTTTTAAATTAACCATAACAATGTACAGAAGCCACCTGAAATAAACAAACTTTTACCTAAACTAACTACCAGGCAGGAACCAATGTCGTGGTTGTCGAAATTCTCTAGCTAAATTAACTCTCGGCCCACGGAATCTGACACCGTTCCTCGGAGCGAGTCTCAAACCTCGCCGAACGGACAAATCTCCGCCACGTGACCGACTCCAAATTTACAAAGTCCAACTCAACACTACCGCCTTCTCCTACGTTCGTCTTGGCGAGGGGGGCACACAAAATTAGCCTCACCGAACGAGAGAAAACTACTCCCCGAGAATACCAATTCTCGAATTATCCACTATTTAACAAAATTTCAACAGCTAGCGAACGTTCCCCTCAATCACGACACGAGGTTCCCGCCAAAACTTAAGTCTGCATAAATCGAAAAATATACCAAATTACACGGTCGGAAATCAAACCTATCGGGTTGTAGGTGGCAACTGATGTTTAGTAAACCATTTTATAACATTTTAGGGAAGAGATGGGCGCTGACAACACAAAAATCTAACAGATTACCCTGCCTGAATTTCAATACCGACCTATCGTATCTTGGCCTCCAAAGGAAGAGGCTGTGACGTCACTTTTTCTCCCAGAGTTCCTCGCTTCCTCGGACAGGGTTGTACTAAATTCCGAAAAACGACACGAAGTGACCCACGCGTCGCTACAAATATGTAACAATATAAATCAATATTGACAGAGACTTATATATATATTACGGCATATATATATATAGTACAAATACACAAATATATACCGTGACTGGTAAGTAAACATAGGGGAGGGGAGAAGAAAGCAAAGCACATATGAATTACATATAGTTTAATCCGACTCAGGCGGCAGACACCATTGTTAAATGTGAACACTAATCACAGTGCTTAACATTCTAACTCATCAAATCATATCACATGTCAGTGTTGTTTTTCTCCATGTCCTTGCTGGTCCAGGAAAGACTATAATCAATGTAATGTATGCATTACTTAAAATTCATTCCATCAATCTGTCTTATGATAGAAGAAAGGAAAATATGTGGAACTCAGGAGGGATGATATGTGATATAGTAGAGAAGAATCAAAATCTGTGTCTTTAATATACAAAATGTACTTTTAGGTGGATTGGCAAATAACTTCATTATCTTGTTTAAACAATTCATGATTTCCAAATAGCAGAAGGTGCAGGTCCAACGGGACGAAATCATAAAGCTCCCGACACAAGTGATACGCTGACCAGCATAATTGTTACAGACAAAAAAAAAAAAAAAAAAAAACAAGCATCTCCAACGGGGTGCCACACAGGCCAATTTCGTAATTAAACTTATTATCATGAATGAAATCTTGATTTAGAGTTCTACACCCGTTTTTTAGCTTGTCGTGCAAGATGTTTTCTGTCACAAATTAGATTGTAGAAAGGAACATATATATATCTTACGTTTCAAACGGAAATTTGCAAGGCTGAATATGATATGCTTTGTCCAGTTTCAATGGACAATAGAATAAGATTTATATGTTCTATATAATGTCTGTCGATTTAACAAGTATTTCTGCTTGCGCATGACATTGATTTTTAACCTTTTTACAAATATTTCCAATAAGATTTTGCCCATTTACAATTTTTGTCTCGATATTTATGAAATAGTCTTTTTCAGAGTTATGAATAAGTAGTGACTGAATTTTACTAATCATCTTCTCGTCCTGTCTTGAATCTTTCTAAATCATTATTAATGAGTTTGAATAAGAAAGGAGAAGGATCAGAATAGGACACAGACATTTAATCTATAAATAGTTTTGAGAGGCTCCGGAGATTAACGGATATATAGGATAGGTAATAAAGGGCATAATACAGTGACCTGTAGGAACACCGGCATTAACAGTTTCAACAGATTTATTATCCCACATCAAATTTTGCTGTTTCACTTATATAATTGACCAGTCAATTTAAGAGTTTCCCACTTCTACCATAACTTGCTAGGTTTCACCGCTAATCCCTTGTGCAAACACGATCAAAGGCTTTCCATATATATATATAGGATGCATGACGTGGGACAATAAAATATTATCTTCCCAAATGTCCACCGATATAGATATAAATATGGCGAATATTTGGTGTTGATGGTTTCATTACCAGTCATAATCACGATAATGAATCCAAGGAAACGACATCTCCCGTACTGCTCTACTTCCTCAATGCTGCTCTCAAGCACTTCATCCTTTCTCTGAGCATGTTTACAATTACTGATAGAGTTTTATTGGATGCTTTCAATCAATCAATATAGCAAGCCTGTTTATTAATAATCTTTTTTAGGTTATGACTTTGGAATTTAAAAAAATTCAATCGAATAGCAAAAAAAAAAAAAGGTCCTTACCCAAGGACACGTCAGACTCTTCTACATCAGTCTGTTACTCCGGTCCTTACCCAAGGACACGTCAGACTCTTCTACATCAGTCTGTTACCTCGGTCTTTACCCAAGGACACGTCAGACTCTTCTACATCAGTCTGTTACTCCGGTCCTTACCCAAGGACACGTCAGACCCTTCTACATCAGTCTGTTACTCCGGACTTTACCCAAGGACACGTCAGACCCTTCTACATCAGTCGGTTACCTCGGCCTTTACCCAAGGACACGTCAGACTCTTCTACATCAGTCTTTTACTCCGGTCCTTATCTAAGGATATGTCAGACCCTTCTACATCAGTCTTTTACTCCGGACTTTACCCAAGGACACGTCAGACCCTTCTACATCAGTCGGTTACCTCGGCCTTTACCCAAGGACACGTCAGACTCTTCTACATCATCAGTCTAAGGATATGTCAGACCCTTCTACATCAGTCTTTTACTCCGGACTTTACCCAAGGACACGTCAGACTCTTCTACATCAATCGGTTACCTCGGCCTTTACCCAAGGACACGTCAGACTCTTCTACATCAGCCTGTTACTCCGGTCCTTATCTAAGGATATGTCAGACCCTTCTACATCAGTCTGTTACTACGGTCTTAACCCAAGGATACGTCAGACTCTTCTACATCAGTCTGTTACTGCGGTCTTTACCCAAGGACACGTCAGACTCTTCTACATCAGCCTGTTACTCCGGACTTTACCCAAGGACACGTCAGACTCTTCTACATCAGCCTGTTACCTCGGTCCTTACCCAAGGACACGACTGACTCTTCTACATCAGCCTGTTACCCCGGTCTTTACCCAAGGACAGGAGTGACTCTTCTACATCAGCCTTTTACTCATGTCTTTACCCAAGGACACGACTGACTCTTCTACATCAGGACACGACAGACTCTTCCCTTGGTCTCTACTCACAGATAAAACAGATTCTTTATCAGGCGGAATTAATAAAATACGCAAATTTACGTCTTGCTATAATAAAAAGGAGCTCTCTAGGAAAATTTATATACTTTTATTTGCAAATCTCCGTTCACATTTAACAAAAACGCACTGTTACATTATATAACCACACAATAAAAGCTTAAGAATTATCAAAAGTATACCAAAACAAAACAAACTAATAACTAACTAGCTAACTAACTAATAACTTACTAACTAAATAACTAGCCATTTATATCGACAAATAAATTCTATCACGACTGCTGCTTTCTCCACGAATTGTTCTCAATATTTTGATTTGCGAAATATCGGACAATATTTAGAAACAAGAATTGTCAAAACAAAAAGATTCTTCACTTCTACCAAATACTTCCTCAATAAAAACACTACAAATCTACAAATCAGAAAAAAAAACTACTACCATCAACACCATCCCATATATCTTATCTACATGGACGCCACCGTACAAAGGCAAGATATAATACCAATTGCTGAAACGATTTTAGACAATTCAGACGCATACAAAATGTAAAAGCAATATATGTAAATATATCTATGTATAAAATGACATCAGAAGAAGCAATCATAGCAATATGGCAATCGGTAGTGGAATAAAATAAGTGATTTCCATCCGTTAAAAAGTCCACGTATGGTCAAAATGGCAACAAAGAAATGAATTCGTGATTATCACATCATAAGCAGAGATCAAAGAGGCTGCCGTATAAATAACATATTAACAGTTTTATAACGGCGTACATAAAAAGTAAACAATTTTTTGCGACTTACTTGTACAAATTCTGCTCTGAAACAATATGTTTACAAAAACCTACAATCAACCACACATGTCACTAAGACAAGAAGGGGACAGATTTCTATTCATATGTTTCATTACGAGAGAACTGTCAATTGATGTCGAAGAAACGTCCGTGAAAATTGAACGGAACAGTTGTAGGTAAATTGGCGCGACTTCTCAATGTCATCGTTTTCGGGTCAATTATGGCAAGATAGCTCTGCTTCGCATCGCCGTCATAAGCTGATGTCATCAGCACACCGTCGTCTTCCGAGTTGCCCCCGGGTGTGGGGATGAACCAGGGTTCTGTAAAGTAGTGGTGGGGCACGGCATACATCAAGTCTCCTTTATTGTTGCAGACATCCTTCTTGACAAGAGCGAAGTGACTGAAACCCTTCCCGTTGTAGTTGATCACTTGACCGTAGATGTAACAATACTTTATATGACGATAGTTTTCGTTGATAACTGGCATTTCCAGTGCGCCGGCGCATGGAGCTTTTGGTCCATTTTCAAAGACTGTTTTTGACACAGTCTTTGTGCGAAGGTCAATTGTGTATCGCTTGAGGACTGGTGTCGACAGAATATCCATTCGAGCTGTTTTATTGAAAAGATATGAAAAGTCAAAATAGTCAAAAGCAAATGGATTTATTTGAGTTGGAAGATCCATTACAATTTTACCATCTGGCGTTTCGAAAGCGTTGATGTGATGAATAACGAAGACTGTCTCTGTCTGTAATGTATGTACCCTTCCTGTCTTTATCTCTACAACATATATAGTAGTGTTGGCGTTTCCATCCCAAACCATTCCACCCTCTACTGAGCAAGTCTGCATCATTTTCATAATACTGATAGTGTACGGAGCCGCGAACAGGATAACGTAGTTAGGAGTGACAGAGAACGAATGCATATAGTGAAGCTGGTCCGTCTCCCACTCAGCCACCATTTCTGTGCTGTCTAAGGTTGTGATTCGAACCACGGCCATACGGTGTTTGGTACCTGGGTAAAAACTAGGAATTGTCATGAACTCAATCCTTGATGACGTTCCGTACTCCGGAACTGGATGAGCAGAGGACATTGTAGCCCCTTTTACAGAATAAAAGTTTTTCGAGGAAGGCATTGGTGGAATCAAAGGTCTTATGGTATCTAAGGTGTGAAGATCAAATTCATAAGCAAACCATAAGTCACTAATGGCCACCGTTCTGTTAATGTAGTTAAAAACGTTAACGTTCATATCATCAACATTATTCCTTATGCATTGCATTTTTTCCATAAATGTGTAAGAAGGACTGACCACCCCTAACGTCATATATGGTTCAATGTCACACTTCTCGATGGACGTCAGGTAGGATTTCGACTTAATCATTTTTGCAGAAAAAAATGCAGATCCGTTTCCAGGAAAAGTCCAACTGTGAAGTTTTGCGTATCCGTCAAAATAGCTCTGGTATTTTCGTCTACCCATTTCTAATTGCCCTGGACCATTCCTGACCTGAAAGTAAAATATTGACCATTTTTGACGTGATAAGCTAAAAAAAATAAGATTTTCACTGCACACATGTTCAAAGCTCAAACGTTTCACTCTGTGTTTTAATGTCTTCCTTTCACATATACGTAATGGAAAAGCGTGAAATCACAACAGAATATACACCGCAGTCTTAAACAATATGCATCGAATCAACTCATAGCATCACTTCACACGGATAGAGTACCAGGATATGATAGAGTTAAGAAAGGAAATATCTGCCACAACAGGGGGAACCATCAACCTGTTGGGGCAACTGTTTCAACAACAACTGTTGTATAAAGAAGCATTTATACCACGTGTGTAATAAACCGTCAAGGCATTTTGACTGACTGACACTATGAAATTTGACCGGGATGGCACTTCACGTACTCGCCGAAAATAAAATGCACAATTAATGTAAATAATTAACGACAGAGTAGTAGTTTAAACAGTCATCCAAACCCCTTGTTGGTTTACATTATATTTCTCATCAGTTATGTTTCAGACGTTATCAATAAATTAATGGCTGGAAAGCTATTGAAAAGTAGCTAACCGGCGTGAAAGAAATACCATATACAGCAACCAGTATCAATTTTATGTAACCAAACACACCGGTACATTCATCCATCCATATGGATGTATATGTATTGTATAACATTGTACCAATAATTCATCAGAAGTGACCGATTCGATAAAATTCAATGAAAAGGGAAAAGCTTAGAAAATGATGGTATTAGTTTGGTAAGCGTGATGATTTCAATTTCCCTATTGTGAATTTTCCATTTCTGGATAGCAATATATCTACATCCCCAACCTATGGTGTTTACATATCGCAAATGATTCGATGTTCCATTATCCACTAAACTGACGGGAAAACTCGTTATTTATGGGAATTACGGGAATCTTTACCGTAGCGATCACATTGAAAAATATGTTATTTCTTTGTGCGATATGAAGCTGTATGTGTTTGAAGCTCGATAGTTTGCCTGTTAGTTCCGTTTGTAGCTGTATACTTTTTCTCATTTGAGAATGTATCATTACATACTTGGATTGACCAAACTTTACATGGCGGGTGTGATGAAGCAGAAGACAGTTTTCTGGAACACCTGTCACCTGGTCTTATTCTCCTAGTACTTTTTTCAAAAGTCTAAGTGTGAAACTTTCTCATACTCATACCTTGCCCTGGTTTTATTAAATTTATTTTGATTTGGACTTGTTGGTATTTTCTTGTTGTGTTTTGTAGAATATCAAATTGATCTACCGTTGTTTCATTAGCGATGTCACTGCACCGTAACATACAGTCCTTCTATTCAAACATGCTTTCTTCGGTGCAGTAATTTTGTTCTTGAAAATCAACAGATAGTTTGTTTTATTTGTCGCGATTGGGAAATGTATTGATACATAAATGTAAACTTACCAATATTCCACGAAGCCATGTTGGTAAAGGGTGCTGGAATTGTATCGGGAAATTCTCATAAGTTTTGTTATTCGTTTGAAATATATCCTCGAAGCCAGGGTCATCATCATCTGATGGTGCTGCCGACACAGTGACTTCACAAACAGTCAACACAAGTGATAGATGAAATAGCAGGACTGTGGGTGCCATTGTCGTCCTATCGATTACCGTAATGTGATACACGTTCGTTGGAAATATTCAGGGTTTAAGTAAAATTGATGATAATTCACAAAATCACGTGATATACTATGACAATTGGGTCACAAAGCAGGATGGTTTCTCTGTCGTCTAGCACAGTCATGAACCGGTCCGTAATGACTTCACTGTCCACACCTGAAATATATTAACGAATAATTGCTAACAAAATAATCAAGATTTACATGACGATTGCCGTCAATGAAGCAGAAGACGTTCTCCCTTCCGGAACAGTTGCATGATCTTACAGTTTTATTTTATAACATAATCCATCGGTTAATACGTACTATGTGCATGGACTCATGTGTGCAATATGTATTTTTGATATCAATCAAGTTGTTGACAAAACATTATCACATCATGCGAAACGAAGCGCAGAAGGTTGGGCTTTAATCAACCTTCCTCAAATCAAAGTCGCACAACACAGCTAATTGGTGGTTTAGTTGATATGAAGACTGGTTTCGAACTAATACACTACCAAAGGGTTTTTAGTGCTCATTATTGATTTTTTAGTTTTCTTAAATATATAGATATTTTCACTTCTTTTCTATGTTTTCCTCTGTTCTTGCTTTTAATTATATAAGAAATAGTGATAATAATTGCCTAATCAAAGATGTAAGTCTGAAGGACATTTTGTCTTTCTGATTAGTCTCGAAATAAAAAGGGCACCAATAGGTAGCTAGGGGAACAACATTTTAAAAAAAAGTTTCATCAAGCATTTCTCAAGAGACGTTAATAACTCTCTTTGTAAAAATTAAAAATAGCCGCCTGTCGGCCATTTTTTTCTTATCCCAAAAATAAAAGGGCACAACTAGTGACCAAGTGCTATCCAAAATGAAATTTGAGAAGATCCATTTAAAACGTCCAAAGAATACATCGTTAACAAGGATTGTTTACAGACGGACGCCCTAACAGACGAAATTTGTGGGTTGCAATAATTTGTCAAATCGATTTTGTAGGTTGTAACTTTGAAAACTGAAAAATCATCGAATTTCCGTTCCATTTCTATAAATGCTCAAGCGCACTGAGGTGTATTATTGGGTAAAGTATGCAATTTTAAATGAATTTCGTAACCTTTAGGAAGACTTTTTGACATTATCGCAAAACCTCAAGCATAACTGAGCGAGTTCGGAACTTAAAGACCACGACAATCAAAAATATGCACTCAGGGAAATGTCAAATGGAAAGTATACAAATTAATGTGATAGCATCGCAAACACATACCTGACGTACGTGAGCTGCAATATTATGTTTCTTATGAATAACATTTTGTAGAAAATTTTTCCGTTCACATATCAACAAATTTAAATGTAGATAACAAGAAAGAAGCAAAAAAGTAATGGGAGTTTTATGTTGATATAAATTACTGAGAATTTTATATTTCAGTAAAGTGCAGGTTATAACTTTTTTCATGGTTTTTGAGATCCATAACACTATTGAAATTGTGCGACCTCGGGTATCGCACGAGTATTCGTGTTAATCGGGCTGACTTAACACTTCTCGCCCTGAATACATCAAATGTTCCTTTCTAAATGACTATTATACACCGTAGTATGTTCTCAGTCAAGTGATTACCGATCGCCAAACAAAAGTGACATGAAACACGGTATATCTTTTTACAAAATACTGTTTTATATTCAGTATCTCCTATTATGTATCTATTTACTAAATATAATCGATTTATCTGCTATAATGTATATATTTACTAAATATATTCGATTTTTCTGCTATAATGTATATATTTACTAAATATATTCGATTTTTCTGCTATAATGTATATATTTACTAAATATTTTTCTATTTTCCTGCTGTTATGTATCCATTTACTTAATATTTTCGATTTTTCTGCTATAATGTATATATTTACTAAATACGTTTTCTATTTTTATGCTGTTATGTATATATTTACTAGATATTTTCGATTTTAAGCTATTATGTATCTGTTTGCTGAATATTTTTTATTTATCTGTTATAATGTATCTATGTACTAAATATTTTCGATTTATCTGCTATTATGTATAAATTTATTAAATATGATCGATTTATCTGTTATTTTTTTTTCTATTTACAAAATATTATCCATTTATTTATTTTTTTCACATGTTTTCTATTTATCTGCTATTTTAATCTATCTGTCATATTTTGTATGACTATTTCTTCATCCATCTATCTATCTATCTATCTATCAACAAAATGTTATTTCTCTTACAAAAATAGAGACAGGTACCTTACTAAGAGCAAATTTAATGTACACACGTTTAAATTAAAGAGAGTTCTAGGGAACCTGAACTTAACGAAGTCGCTGTCTTACAGCGTTTGTATCGAAACTACAGCATTTATACATATGATGATTATGTTACAAGTATATTAGATGAAAATACAACAAAACCCATAACAATACAAATTTATAGAAATAACCGGAGTGATGAAGAAACTAAGGGGTTGTAAACAGTCTTCGAGTTAATTCCAATCGCCATCTTAACTTGATTACTGCGATTTTATATCAGTTTCAATGTAAAACCGTGTGGAGATGAAAAACATTGAAAAAATACAAAAGCTGGTGGTAATAATATTGGCTGATTTTGAAAGGGAATTATCATGACAATGATGAACAAAGATGACGAAATGTAATGTTAGTGTAAACTCGCGGGGATTTCATGTTTCGATTTGCGGGCTAAAACGTGCACTCATTGAAATGTCATATTGACAGTATGTACAAACTAATGCGATAGCATCGAAAAATCATACCTAAAGTACGTGAGCTGCAATATTATGTTTCTTATGAATAACATTTTGTAAAAAAAAAAAATTTCCGTTCACATATCAACACATTTAAGTGTAGATAACGAGAAAGAAGCAAAAAAGTAATGGAAGTTTTATGTTGAAATAAATTACTGAGAATTTTATACTTCAGTAAAGTACAGGTTATAGCTTTTTTTCAGCAAAACACTATCGAGGTTGCCCGACCTCGGGTATCGCTCGAGAAATCATGGTAAAGAAAACGACTGCATTGTACTCATACTGAATACCTAAGGCAGGTTCCTAATCTTTATGATTTTTTATACACCGATACATGTTCTTATTATACTGAGACTACTGGTCGCCATATAAGTGACAAGAAAACATGGTTTACTTAAAAAAATAAATGAAAAATGTTTTCCTGATCTTGTACAAAATACGTTTGATGTATCTATTATTTCCAATGCATCCACCAAATATTTCTAATTTATCTGCGGTACAAAATAGTTATGGTTTATCTACTATATTTTATCTGTCTACAAAATAGTTATGGTTTATCTACTATATTTTATCTGTCTACAAAATAGTTATGGTTTATCTACTATATTTTATCTGTCTACAAAATATTTATGGTTTATCTACTATATTTTATCTGTATACAAAATATTTTTTGTATATCCACTATATTTCATCTGTCTACAAAATAGTTATGGTATATCTACTCTATTTTATCTGTCTACAAAATATTTATGGTTTATCTACTATATTTTATCTGTCTACAAAATAGTTATGGTTTATCTACTATATTTTATCTGTCTACAAAATAGTTATGGTATATCTACTCTACTTTATCTGTCTACAAAATAGTTATAGTTTATCTACTATATTTTATCTGTCTACAAAATATGTATGGTATATCTACTATATTTTATCTGTCTACAAAATATTTATGGTATATCTACTATATTTTATCTGTCTGCACCATGGTTGCGATATAGCTACTTTACTTTATCAATCTACAAATGTGGATTTGATATCTATAAAAATAAATGTTGAACTCCGGGAAAACAGTAAAAAGAATTTAAAAATGAAAAAGCTGATCTCTGAACCCTTCTCACTCAACTTCCTGAAATGTGGCGGACTCCTTTCTTTATGACTTTGTTACACCGAAGTGTGTTCTTGGTCTTCTAAGATTACCGGTCGATAAACACAACTGACAGAAAACCAGTGTGTTTACTTACCAAATATTTCATTTCATTTGTTTTATCTACAATTGCATCTGTGAAATAGTTTCGAATATTTTCTACCTTTTTTCATCTACATAATATATTCGATTTCTCTGACTATAAATATTTTCAATGTATTTGTTAATTTTTATGTGTCTACAGTGTGTTTTATTTACCTATTCTGTTTTAATGGAGCGTCAATATTTTATTACACCACATATATATATATATAAAATCATTGAATTATGAAATATAGCATTTAATCTTTCTCACTAGAATGTCAGACGTAGCAGCAGCTGTCAGGTAATTAGGTTATAGTTTGCACGTGTCTAGAAGACGACATTTTAACAATGTCGGAACTAGGACGTTATTTTTCCAAAACTGTTCCTGCATTAAAAAGAAAGTGTTTGATATGTAAACATGTTTTTAAAAATACACCTGAAAAGAATATTCTCTGATCCCAGTAATGATAGCAAACATAAATATGGAGACTGGAATATTCAGTCGGGATGGTTTGGAATTTAAATGACATATTTTTCGGCAAATTTCTTGTACAATGTCCCCATGTGATCAATCTATCTAATTCGTCGAGTTGTATTCAGATCAGACGTGATTTCTACGTACATGTTTCTTGCGAAAAATTAAAATAAAAGTAATCTGGCTGAAGCTGACAAAATAAAATGTAGTAAAAATAAAAAGTTGTAAAATATGACTTCAACGGCACTGTGATTAACATTTTACAAAGTGGCAAGAGTATTTGTTTAGTAATATTTTATAATAGTATTCCACATACTTCAAAATTCAGAACTGAAATGATAACCCTCCCAAGGCAATATATATGGTTGGGTTATTTGGAAATTTAAATATGCATTGTAAAATTTTACACACGTTTGTAAATTTTTAATGGTGATTAAAATAAACAAAATGCCATGGAGTACTGGGCAATTCTTTCTAAATAATAACAAAAGGCCCCATGGGCTTGACGGTCATCTAATTGTTATAATAGCAGTAAATTAAACAATTCTACATATTTTAACAGTAAACAAAAACACCTGCCATTGTTCATTCTAATTTCTTATCATTCACAAGAAATTTATTACATATCGTACCAGAAGAAAAGGAGAAAAGGAAAGAAATCTCGAATTGAAAACAGCGCTAAACCAACCTGAAGCA